AAATTAGGAAAAATGGAGGAAAAAAAATTAAAAAATAGAATTAAACCGTCAAAAAAAGAATTAAAAAAACAAACCAAAAAAAAAAAACGTAATAAAGAAGCACAGAAAACAGAAAAATTGAAAAAACCAAAAACAAAAAATAATTGAAAAAACCAGAAACAAAAAAAATATAAAATGAGTAAACGAAAAAGAATCAGAAAAACAGAATAAAATAAGAAATAAATAAACAATAAAACAATGGTAGAACGAACAAGAAACTTCTTTAAAGATTAGTACCATGACTTGGTGAAGAAGCTTTCCCATTATTTCAGTGTAATGTAGAAGCAAATAATGCTACAAAATCTAATCTATAACAAAGTTCTATATACAATATGGGCTGACATACAGTTATAGTTTAACGAATTAAATACATGAATTTTTCTGGGATCTAAACGCTGCAGGGGACCTACAGTTTTACTTCATTTTTATGAAGTTTGACAGAGGATCTTAATTTATCCACTAATTACCCCAGTTTGGACCATTGAGCGATGAAAATTTGTGAAGCTGAACACAATTTAATGCATTGAGGACCGACAAGCACATTGTTAGTCATGAAAACTGCAGGAAATCGACAATGAGTTAGGTAAGCTCGGGAGGGATTTGCCTGCAAATAGTCGAATCTTTCAGTTTTCGGTACGAGAAGAACGATGCGCAAATTGACATTAAATTTCACGAAAAATTTCTCCGCGGAGATATAACGCTTCCTTTTTTAGGGATCCTCGAAAACACGTTTGAACCGACCGCCGTGAATCTTCGAATATATGCGTCATAGAATAGAATAGAATAGAATAGAATAGAAATCACTTTATTCGTTAAAAATGCACAAAAAGGCAAACGAACAGGTCAACTTAGATTAAACTTAATACTAACATTCAAAATTAGAAAAATGCATAATAGTTAAATTAGACAATTCTTCAAGTGAATTAGATTGAATAAACTTCTACACCAGTTCTCTAACTGCGTAGAATTCTTTCTCCACTAGGAATTCAGTGATCAATTTTGAGAATTTTTGCAATTCTGTGTTATCATCAATTTTTAAATCCTTTAAAGGAAGTGCATTGTAACACAGTAAACATTGCTTTACATACTTGTTTTCTCTTGGTGTCATGAACTTATTTTTATTTCTTGTTTAAAATTGTGCTGATCTGATAATTTTTTAATTTGTTCGGAGTTTTCTTGTATGTATGTTGCTCTCTTTAAAATTATCATTGCTGGAAATGTTAGTAATTTATGTTTCTTAAACAACTCATGGCATGAATCTTCATTCTTCATTCCGAAAATAATTCTCATTGCTTTCTTTTGCAATTTGAAAATTCCATCAACTAGTTTTTTGAGCAAAATGACCATGTAGATAAACAATAATTCATATTTCTTACTATAAATGAATGATAAATTTGCATAAGTAAGCTGTGTTGGCAATATTTTTTAAAGTATCTTAGCACAGAGATCCCTTTACTAATTTTGCTTATGCAGTTTTAAACATGTACACTGAAACGCAGGTCATTATCTATCCAAACACCCAGATATTTAAGTACTTCTGACTCCTCGATCCTTGTTCCACCAATAAATATGTCAATTGTTACGTCAATTTTCGCAGTGACTAGGATAAATTTGGTTTTTATTTCATTTATAGCCATGCCATTAAGATCACACCATTGGTGGAAAAGGTTGACGAGTAGGTATGCATCAATTTCCAATACAGAACTTATTTTGTTAGCAATGAGTAACAGCACATCATCAGCAAATAAAATTAATTTAAAAATCGATGTAAACACAGAGTTTTTAATTTTTATGTTCAAAAATTGCGCTATATCGTTCATGAAAATTAAAAAGAGTAAGTGCCCTAAAATCGAGCCCTGAGGAACCCCACTCTTGATGAGTTTAAGGATTGATTTCCAAATCCTTCCTTTCTTTTTGACCGCTACATACTGAGTTCTCCCTGTCAAATAACTCATAAGTAATTCAATGGCACATTCAGTGAAACCTATCCTCTTTAATGTTACTTTAATAACGTCAAACCTTACTGTATCAAACGCTTTACGCAGGTCAATGGTGATAATGACAGATACATTTTTCTTATTTAACAATAACGATTCATAACAATATCTTACTGCCATATCAGTGTTCTTACCGTGAGTGAATCCATATTGATGTTCGTATAGTAGTTTGTTTTCGTGCAGGTATTTCTTAATTTGTTTGCTCATTAAATTTTCAAATATCTTGGATAGAGATGACACAATGGACAGTGCCCTATAATTACTTATCAATGTAGGTTTATCTTTATCTTTTGGTAGAGGTACAACTTTAATACATTTAAGACTTTCTGGGAAAATTCTACCTAATATCATTTCATTATAAAAATATGCCAGTGGTATAATAAGCTCTTGAGGAATTTTTTTTGCAATATAATTACTTAGACCATCATCACTTTCACATTTTTTATTTTTTTGTCTTTTTATTGCCATTTCTACTTCGTATTCATAAACGTAATCAAATTCTAACACAGAATTGACTTTCTGTAGATAGTTTAATTTATTAATTTGTAAATTAAGATTCACCGTGTGCTCCATATGTTCAGTAAAGTAGTCATTGAGTGCATTACCCATTCCCAGACCATTATCAGTTTCACTTCCATTAATTTTTAATGACTGCAAAGTAGCTGGTTTGGTTTTTCTAACAGAATTGATTATTTCCCAGGATGTTTTCGATATATTATCAGAATTCTGGAGTTTTTTCATTGTATCTACTTTTTTCTTATCAAGTAACGCTGCTTTATAATGTGCCACTGACCTACTTAACTTTCTCCTGCACTCAATATACACATTTTGATCAACTGCTCTACTATTTACTCTCATATAATGTAAAGTTTTCGTTAATTTATTCACAGCAGCTTTGGCTGCTTTTATTTCTTCACTTCTGACTACTTTACTCGTGAAATGTTTCAAAGGTTTGGGTGGAAAATATAAATCATGCTTATGGATAATCTTAGTATGAAACAAATCAAAATTTAGGTCATTTTTTTCCATAAAAAAATTATTCATTAACTCAACCTTTAATGTGCTTATTGCGTAATCATCATAAATTCTAACTCCGAATGTGGATGAATCTTTAACGGTACATTTGGTTTTAGGCTCAATGTGATAATCTGCTCCTCTCAACTTGATCTCGATACCTGAGTGATCAGATATCCCACATTCAACTACGCCTGTCAAAAATTCATTCATATCTAAATTTCAAGCACTCTCAAATAAACTTTTCTCCTGTTTGCAGTCACCAAAAAAAATTAGGAAAAAAACTGTAAGCTTCGGTCACTCACTACTTTCGAATGACACAATAAAAAAAATGACTCACCTAACTGACTCATTTTACTTTCATTTTGAAAAATGTGACAAAGAATCCTGATTTGTCCACGATTTCTCCCCATTTTGGACCACTGTGCGACGGACATTTTTGGAACTGAACACAGTAATATGCACGGGGGCCCAATGAGAACATTTATTCCATCAAAGGTGTAACTTTTTCGCCCGTTTTATTCCGTCTTTTCACTGCAAAAATGCTGTCTCGAATGACGGCGATTTGGCAACTTTGCCCTCCAATTTCTCAAAAACCGTGCGTATACTCAAGCTAAAATTTTTACTAGAGTTTTAGGGTATCATAAGGTATCGTTTGGGCCCGGTTTCAAAAAAATCCCCGCGGACCCAAATTGTGCCATTCTTGGCGTCACTCTTTAACTGGTCCTAAATCTTAAATGGGATATGTTTCTTTCAATTGAGCATGCAAAGTAGATTTTTCATGTTTTGCATCGGAAAAAGTGAGAAAATCATCAACATAGATGGCAACAATTGTGATCAGATTTTCATTGATTTTGTGAAATTCGCATGGTTCATTTAAGCACAGATTGAGAATAGCCTAATGAGATTTAATATTTCTTGGCCTCTTGGTTCCAAACAAGAGAGGCTTGCTTAAGACCATATTGACGGTGTAAGCCGGTAATCACATAACTCGGTTTGCGATGTCGCAAACTTCCTGTCTTACTATATTTTTTAAACGGGAAACTATTCAACTGCAATGCTTGAAAACTGCCGTGATTTTTCTTCTCTGTGCGAAGAAAATTCTGCATAAACTTTAAAGAGTGATGTCATTTTGTTCTCGCTTAAATAAATAACATAAAGGCGGTGATGTTCAGACACCGCAAACGAGATTTGTGATTGCGGACCTACGCCATCGATATACAGCTTTGTTAAGAAGACAGACTTTGTCAGAGTTACTGTGATCAACAAAACCTTCAGGTTGAGGCATGTATACTGTTTCAGTTAATTCGCCTTGCAGAAACGCATTATCAACATCAAGGTGGTCAATTTCAAGATTATGTTGATTATGCGAAAGCAAAGAGATGAGCAAGGGTTGAGTGTCTAATGACAGGAGAGTATGTCTCAAAGTAATCAACTCCATGAGTTTGACTAAAACCTCTAACTACCAGCCTAGCCTTAAATTTCACTAGGTTATCGTTGCTATCTCTTTTAATTTTAAAAGACCCATTTACTTTGAATAACCTTTTGATCAGGTGGTTTATCAGTAAGAGTCCACACATTATTTTTAAGAAAAGATTCGTACTTTAAAAGCATAGCTTTCTTCCAACTTTCACAATTTTCTTTAGACAGTGCTTGTCTTACCTTCGTCGGTTCGTCAAAGCTCAAGTCGTGAGTAAAGGAATGATCTATACATAAAAAAACTTGTGCTTGCAAGGTTAAGTTCAAAATCCACTAGCCATTTGGGGATTTTTCAATTTCTAGTAGGAAATCGTCGCTCAGGAACTTCTTGGTCTTGTCCTTCAAGTGTGGTTGAGGTCGATGAAATAGTCAATGAAATATTCCATCTTAGCACACTCAGTTATCAGAAATACGAGCTCGTTTTTTAGTTTTCCTACTGCTTTTTAACTTCTTCTTTTTTATTTCCATCAGGGTTTGTTGAAAGCACTTCACATGCTGGATGAAAAGTACGGAAATGTGTACATTAATTTCTGCAAGCCATTTTCAGCAAAAGTATATCTAAAAAATATACCTTCACAATTATCACCAATCACTGATCTTGCCTTTACTGTAGTGGACAGGTAATATATTTGTCTATATTGCATGCACTGTTCCTCATTCTTCACCCTAACTCTGTGGCCAAAAATATTTCTGTTATCACTGCTTAGTATCATGACCCAACATTCTCTGCAGTTTTACAAATTCTTTAAATTAAATTTCATTATACCTACTCTTAACTGAATAGGAGTTTCAAAAATCTAGAATCAAGATACTTATGCTCATTCTGAGCCTCATGATGTGATAATTGGTATGTTGAACATGGCGTAGAACAAGCAGGTTGAATTTTTCATAATAATGGATCCAAAAAACAACGTAAAGACAACTTTGTGCAATGCTGAACTTAAAATGGGCTCAAATAGTTTTGCATTTTTCCTCCCCCCCCCTTTCTTTCTTTGCAAAAACTTTACAAATAATAGAAATTCTATGAAGATAAGATCAAGTTATATCACACCCTATTAGGCACTGCACTCTTGGAAAATTTTATTTACCTGGCAGTAACTGTGGCCTCAGGTTAAGACTGGATGAACTGGAAAAATGAGCCCCTAGGTTTTTATAATTTCTTCAAATACCTAATTGGATAAACTTTACTGTAGCCGTTAACATTTGAATTAATTTGCAGTTTGTTTTTTATGTAGGCAGCAACGCAGTTGTGTCGTTAGTTGTTTCAATTTGATTTCAATGGTTCTTACCAACCATCTCTTAGTCAATGATGAGCCTTTGTACCTGAAGCAATTAGTCAGCGATGTTTCATGGCTTCGATCTGTCATGCAAGAGCTGTCTGTCAGCACCGTATTTGCCATAGGTATTTTAAAAATAAAATAATCACCTTTTTCCCCTATTGTTTCAATGTAAGCCTGGCACCAAATGAATGAATTTTGAATTAAGCCGGAAAGCTGGACATTTTTTTAAAAGACGTATTATGAGGTTCTTAAATAAGGGTTAATTTTGCACCATTCTTGAAGTATGGCTCTAGCCGCTACCTTGGATTTTTGCTCCTAAAATCGCTATTTTTCGGTTTCTTGCCTGATAGTCGGTTAAAAAGTCATTATTTCGTGAATATACTCCTTTGCATAATTAAAGCTCATACAATTTCCGACCAGAAAGGTTGTATGCAATTGTTTCCATGCGATCCACCATTTTCGAGCTATGAGCGTTGCAAAGTAGGACTTTTATGATCAAAATCAGCCAAAACGGTACTTCCGAGTTTCCAGTGCTCTACAACTTTGCAGAAAACAATGAAAACTCATTCCGAACCCAACAGCTATGGTTTCTCAAAAAGTAATACCAAAATCCAAATGCATGGGAGGGGGGGGGGGTTAAGGCGACCCAATTTATGAGCGTGCGTACTATTACACATCATGCCGTACCGTGCCATGCCGTGCTGTGTTATCAGCGACTGGGAGCAACCGTGTTTTAACTATTTCTGCAACAAACTCCAGCATTAAATTTAATAATAAAGTAATGTCCCTGAATCCCACACAATTTTTTAAAAGGATTTCTTTCTTTAAAAAAACAGACAACAAATTAGAGGATTATTTTCAATTTAAAGTGGCTCCTTATCTGTTGGCTCTTTCTGAAGAATCCGTAGCGCGGGAAACATCTGAGTCTGTGATTCATGACAATTTTTTCAACCTGTGAAACTGCAGTTACATTGAAGATTCTGTTTGTGTGATTGACGTTTTATGGTGCACAAAATTGTTTGGCATCAGCAAGAAACAAACTCTCAAATACTTGATAAATATTTGGAGTATGTGTAGAAAAATTATTTCACTAACCTGACAAAGGTGTTTAATGGATATTCAGATTATAAAGCAGCAAAGAGTACTAAAACAGCGAAACGCTGTCGAAGATGAAACTCATTAGCATCTCTAGAAATTATTTTTGAAGAGAATATATCAGCGACTGAGCTACAAAGTAAATTTTTTGCAAATTGGAAAACTAATAGTCGACTGATAGCTTTACCAAGAGAGAGGTTTGATAGTGCAGGTATTAAAACTAAATAAGCAGTAGAGGATGCTGACGTGCTAATTGTAAGTATGAGTAATTGAGTTATCTTAAAATTCTTCAGTCTTAATAATCGAAAGTGAAAACTCCGATCCATTTTAGTTATCCTTACAGGTTTGTTCAACTCCAAGAAATGCCTTCATTTTTATAAGCAGGGTAAAGGAAACAATCCTAACAAAATGTCCTCGCCAAACCAGAACATAACTTCAGCAGATAATATTTCACGTTTAGATACACTCATCGGTTGTGATACCATATCTGCTATTTCTAGGCAAGAAACACCTAGGCTCTTGAAATTCTTACAAAAAGAAAAGGGATTACAAGTAGCGGTTCAATTTTTCATAGAGCCCAATGCCACACCAGAGGCAGTAGCGAGTGCGGGGGAAAATGGTTTCTTTCCCTTTTCCGGTGCTCAAGGTAATGTTCCATTGAATCAATTTAGATACCAGCTTTTCACACAACGTACAATTTACAAATTCTTACGAAGCAGCCCAAAAAAATGGTAAATGAAGAAAGCAAATGTGAAAAGCACGGGAAACTAGGCTGAAAACATTAAAAAACCGGAGACGTTTCAATTCACAACTGAGTCATTACAGTTGGAAAGTAACCTAAAAATTCTTCTTCTTCTGTTGGTTTACTGGCTCATATTCCAGATGTGGAACCTACAGCCATCTATAGACAAAATTTCAAACTTGGTACTAATGAAAATTTATGGGTAAGGAAATGATTAGAAGGTAGGGTATTTTGTTTATTCTAGACATCACCATTTTCATGCTTAGAGACCCTTCTAAGCGACTTCCTATACCAGGAAATACTGGGCCATGGATAACATTCAAAGTGAACATACGGTGAATTTATTTATTATAATATTTTTTTTTTTGGGGGGGGGGTTTAAGATTTATGAAGATAAGGATATCAACGACGAGTCTATGGAAAAGGATATCGGATAGTTCATTAAAGCATATAGCTAAGAAATAAGGTTGTTATAGTCTTCCTGTAAATAGTTAAAAACATTCCTTAGCAACCACTACTCGCAGCGAACCAGGTAGTGTTTACTCCTACAAAATAACTACTACAGTTGGTTATAACTTTAAAATCTAATTATTTACTATTTTTTTATCGTTTTATTATTTTTTATTATTTTTTTTTTATTTTTATTTTTTATTATTTTTTTTTATTTTTATTTTTTATTTTTTTTTATTTTATTTTTTATATTTTTTTATTATTTTTTTCCTGTTAAAGATTCATATTATTGACTTTTAGAAAATTAGCGATGATTTTATATATCTTGGGAACCGGGGTGTGAAGTATATATGAGACGTTAAATGGAGGAAAGTAGTTATTTTCGATTAGATTTCGAATCAATATATCTCGATTTATTAGATTTTGACATTCAAATAGTATATGGTTTAAGTCACCATATAGTCCACAATCGCATAAATCTGAGTCTTTCAGATTTAGTCTGTTTAAATGTGATGGGAAGTTTCCATGTCCTATTCGAAGTCTAATTAAGTTTTTTATTTCACTACGATTCCATTTTAGTTTATCAAACTAGGGTTTTCGATTAATTTTTGGGCAAATTGATTTTAACTTCTGCCCCTTCCAGGTACATTCTATCCATTCTTGGTTCCATTCAAGGTATGTTTGCTTTTTAAAATGAGGGATTAGTTGCTTGTAATAGAGCTTGTCATTGATATTATTGGCCAAGGGGAGCAGTTTTGTTAGACTGTCAGCTCTTTCATTCCCTGGGATTCCTACATGGCTAGGGATCCATAATAGCCAAATATTATTAAGCTGGTTGTGATACAGAAGTGACTTTATATCATCTATTGTTGGATGGAGGTCACAAGATTGATTAAGCATATTTTTAAGTACATTTTGGGAGTCAGAGCAAATTACTATATTTTTATGATTATTAGTTAAACTATGCATGATAGCTTTTTTGAGCTTCAGTTTCTTATATTTCAATTTTTTGTATGTTACTGTGTGGCTTCATTTCGCCTAACAAATGGACTACATTTTGCAATTAGGAACTATTCTCTTTAACTCATTAGTGATAGCACCTATCTGCATTGGAACACCAATAACATATACGTTGTTCGCAGAATGAGCCGGAAACAATTGTTCCCAGAGTGAGCCGGAGAAAATTGTTCCTTATTGCAAAATGTGTACCAATTTTTCTCAGAAGAGAAGAAATATCCCAAGCACTGCTTGTGTGATGTTAAAAATTTGGTATCATCTCTGCTGAGACACAAAATTTAGGTACATCCTCTACTTTTGATAATAATTTAGTTTCATTCCTTTTTCAGCAAATATACTCAACGCGATAGAAGAGGCCATTCATCTTCATAAATCTCTTGTAAAATTATCTAATGAGAGTGCCCTTCAACTGGTTCCTGTCGATTTAGCACTCTCCTGTATCAACAAAAGCAGACTTAAAGGTAAGAATCAGTCTATTTGATCGATAAATTCTGTATGTATGTTTGATTGATCGGTTGCTAGTTACGTTCATTCTAGAATGTATTCATATATTTCTGCCGCCTTATCAATGTTCTCACTTGATCTGGAGCTTTAAGTTGAAATGGAGTTCTTGCATGCAGCAGAGATTTCCGATTGAATCGTCTCTTTTATTGCTGAAATTTTTGCACGATTAATGATGGTGTCACCGCTTCTATATTGAATCAACTCAGAGGCTGTTGTAAAGGCAAAAATTTAATACACCTTTTTTCTTTCAGGTCATGAACTGACTGATGAAACTATGCTAATATCGTTACCTGTGTTTACACTTCAGCATTATGTCAATCCTTGTCTTTATTTTCTAGTCAACATGGCCCTTATTACTACAGTTCTCCAATCAAATCGAGACACATCATACTTCACTTGGGGTAGGTTTCATGATGTTTCTGATCTTATTATTTTTCTAGCGGTCCATACGTGATCCTCGGGGAACACTCGTTTCGCCCAACTAGTCTGTCCTTATATGTACATCCGTGGGCCACTTTCTGAAAAAAGTTGGTGAGTGGTATCAATCTCTTCGTCATGATGCTAGAATCAGAATTTGGATGGTGATAACCTTGAAAATTGTGCAGGAAGCGCCCAAAAACAAAATGGCGGCCGCTCGGTGGCCCTTATTTTTGAAAATTCTGTATTATGATGTGTGAGGTATCGATTCCTATGCTCTTTGGGTCGTAAAATCCGAATATGATGTTTAAAATACGCTCTGGTCAAAAGAAATGTCGCAAATCCAACATTGCGGCTGGAAATACCCACCCAGCGCAAAAATAGCTGAGTTCTCGTTTGACGACAAGTGAGGCGGCCAATGATTGTATTATGTGGTCCCAGGTTTCAAAAACAGAGTTACAAAAAAAAACCCAAAATCCAACATGGCGGCCAAAATGGCAGCTGATCGAAACCTGTTTTTTTGGTATCGGCGTATGGCGTCGAGTAGGGTATCGTTTCTTATGTATTTTGGGTCACATATTACGAATATGAAGTCAAAAATTACTCTTAACCAATATTGAAGCTCGTAAATTCAACATGGCGGCTAAAATGGCAGACATGGATAGAATAAAAGCAATAGTATACAGCGGTAGTCCTGATTTAATACATTTGTGGGGTCTCTTATACCAAATGTAAAGTTAAGATCCATCTGATCACATGTATACACCTTTGCCATCCATTTTGACACTATAAATGGCTGCTACAATAGCCGATCTTAAGTGATAAAATAAATACGTGAAATGTGGATGTCGAGTAAGTAGTCAAACCATGCATTCTCGGGATGGCTATTAAATTTTAGGGTGTACTTATGTTTTGCGAAGTGTTTTATCAGAGTAGCCGGGAGTATTCGTCTTCAAAGTCTGGAAATCGGCCGCGAATAAAAATAAAAGTACAAGTAACTCGCAAAAAGTCTTAAACTGGACTGGACGAGCGAGTAAAACTTAACACTGTTGGAAGATTTTCTGTGTGTTTGGGTAAAGAAATAATTAGCAACACAGATTAAGCATGTTTTTCAATGTATTTCCTTCAACGATTACAAAAATGTTTTTTCAATTTAAAAGTTGTGTTACATAGATTTTTCTTCAAATTACCCAAAATCAATAAATACTTATACATATTACCATGCCATACCATCTTACCTGACAATATTACCATCCCATACAATATTACCTTACCATATTACCATGCCATACCTTATTACCTTACCAATTACCATGTTACCATACCAGTTTTTCCTTAACATATTAACTTATCCAGTATAAGAGCCCCAGAGAAAATATCATGAGCTCTGATTGATTTCTCTCTTTGGGGAGCCGCTCCCGGTGTGAAAAATTTTAAAAAAATTTAAAGCAGCCATTTTTGTGCTAAGTTAGTATGCAAGAATTTGAGGAAAAATTGTAAAACATTTTCAAATTGGTAGAGCAACTACTCATAGATGATTTCTCATGGAATGACCCATATTGCAAAATCGCTGCTACAGTAATGAATAGATTCAAGTAGTTGATCAATATAAATAGCAGCCAATGATGCTGTGGATCAACTATAGATTTAGTTCTACTGTTTTCTTTAATCTTGATTTTTTTCTGCTTCAGATTTTGTCTTCCAAAAATTTCAATTCTTACGAAGAATCTTGGCTTTTGAATTCATCTTTTATAAAAAGAAAGAAGAAGAGGTTTGTGATGAATTTCCTAGTATCCTCTTTACATTCAGTGATTTTTTTCTCATAACTATTTTAGGTAATATTATATGAGGACTTATCTGTACCAATAGCGGATGTCGGGTTTTCACATTGTGAGAAAATCGCGTTTGAAGTTTTTGAAGCTTTGCAATTTTCCGCCCGTAGAACCGAGAGGATTCTCATAAAGATTTTCATGAAGAGCAACTCTTCCGGTAAAAAAACACACGTTTTACGATCTATGTAAGTGAAAAATTGAAGGAGTAATAGCGATTTGAAAAAAATGTGACATCCGCTATTTTTACTGCAAACACTTTTTTTATGCATGAAACAAAGTCTTCAGGAAGGGTAAGGCTTGTGAAACGATTGAAATGACCTAAAAGTAAGTCAATGCTGAGTCATTTAACAAAATTGATCAAGAAACTAAACCGTTTGTAACTTTTACAACAAAAACAAGGAACATATTCTAAAATCAGTGCAAAATTCAAAAATTCTGGCGAGCTGGTCCCGATACGTATAATTTGAGTGTCAGCTACAGCCCATGGCCGGTGGGCAGGCAGTTATCGCAAGTGGGTTCAAATCTCTACAAAGTGCTGCTGCGCCGGCTGGGGAAAACAGTGGATTCTCACATCTGCTGTTTGTACAATTAACATGGTTTTCAGTTCATATCTCGCCGAAAAATTGCGCTGGAAGTCTGAAACTTTGCACAGGCATTCTTGGAGGCTCTAGATTTCGAAAAAAGCGATTGCCCAAAAAATGGCGGATGTCAGCGACCGCTATTGTTACTTATATGTCCTCATATATTTTATTTTACAAAAACCTTGTCAACAGGTGTGCTGTTGCCCATTTTTACTGCGTAGAAAAATGAGTTCTATCTCTGCAAACTCATCTCGTTTTTTCCCTGCCTCGACTCATGGTGGACTACACCAGCCTGTGGGGGCTTAGCTTTTAAGAATTCAGCTGAATCTAGCTTCTTGTTTTCACCAGGACTACTGAAAAAGTTCGATTACTATGCTATTTACCAGGTTCCTTCAGAGTTCTTGCCATTTTTCTATATTTTCGAAAATTTGATTCTTGAATTAAATGTATGAAGCTACCATACGGGTAGATCATCAACACTCTACAAAAAACTATGAAAACAATTTCCTTCAAATTGGCAAGAATGAAGCCAAGAACCATCAGAGTATGGTGAAAAGATGAAATTTGGAAAAATTTGTCTCTGAAGCCAGTATAAGAGAAAATCTGTTTTTCCCTACTCTAATGCATAGGAGATAAGAAGTTTTTCCTCGCGTTACGCCGCCGCGCAGCGCCCGGCAGCAAGAGTCAGTCATGTTTGTTTCGCCCTGCACGCAGTCTACAAGCTCTACTTACCCCCACTCCTTCAATTTTCGACTTCTCATCTGTTATATGTCTCATTCTGCTCTAAAAGATTCACATTAAGCGTAACATTTAATACATTTAAGTAAGCTTTTAGTCCTAGAAGTGAAAGTGAACGTTCATTTAGGCCTTGTCTCCACGGGAAGTTTTCATGGGATTTGTCCCAAGTTCGAATCGCAGGAATGAAACTTCTGGGATTTTTCCCAGTTACCATCTCCACGGGACGAGGCTCATACGGTCCTGCGACTAGATTGCGCGGGAAGATAAATTAGATAAAGTCGAGTATTTAACCGGGATGAAAATAATAATTGCACTCAATTGACAATTAGACACATTATTTTAACTAAACAAACCTGAATAATGGAGTATTCAGCAAAATATCGCACAATTCGTTTACACTTCTTCTTCCTCTCTCAGTGGGTCCTAGGAGTACAAGGACCGTACTTGGTACTTGGAAAAATATTGATCAACTCAATATTTTTCCCAACTTCGTAAGTGGGATTTTTCCCTGGCACAAATCTCGTGAAAAGGCCCGTGGAGACAATAGTCCAGGCAATTGGGCATCAAATAGGGGCTCTTGGGGAAAATTTCCCGGAAAACTTTTTGATGAGTGATTCCTATGTATTTTTGGACGCTGAATCCAAATTTCGCATTTGTGTAAAGATCTTTTCGCCGCTAAAGCCGCCATTTTGAAAAAATGGCCTAATATCTCAGTTTTTGAAAATATCTCGCTTAATTTTGATTTTTTGACCAAAGTAGTTATTTTCAAAAATAAACTACATTCAATTCTAAAGAAAAGATGCCCTTATCAATTTTTTGATATGACTGAAATTTAAGCCGCCAGAGCGCGCTGAAAAAACCGCCAGAGCGCGCTGAAAAAACCGCCAAAATTCGAATTTCGCGAAACTTGCGCTTTTCTCGTGAATAACTTTTCTGGGGGCGACTCTACGTGAAAAATCTTAACTATCAAACTTATAGAGCAACAAATGTGATACTAGGAGTTGCTTTTTTTAATTTTTCTTAATCCTGGACGGCACAGACAAGCTTTTGAAGTTGCACTGAAAACCGAGCATGGACAGGGTTCGCCAGTATCTGCGAAATTACTCTTCTGTGGACTTTTCTAGGGGGCTTATTTACGAGTCAGATTGTAAAATTTCATTGGAAGGTGACCCCTCCCCCCCCCCGAAGACCCCCCAATATTAAATGTCTCAAATTACCCCCCCCCCTCCCCACTCTGGCAATTACCGCTATTGGCGCAATTCATTTTAGTGTATAAAACGTGAATGCAATGATTTCATCGGTGATATTTCGAGTAACATTAATAATTCATCCGGTAATTTCTATAAGTTCTCATGAATAATTGCCTCTTATTGTACGGGAATAGGGGAAATGGACGGAAAAAAGCCTACTTTGAAGTAGACGGACTGTATTATTACATTTGCATAGCTTTTTAAAGTTTCAAATAAAAACATTTCAGAGTTTTCTTAATTTTCACAAATTAAGCATTTTTTGAAGAAATTGTATTGTGCATACAAAGTTATAAAATGCAAATCATCCATCTACGTAATTATTTTCTACCGCGTATTGTAGATAGTCCTGAATTTTTCGTGAGATCAGATTGTGGCACATCTGAATTCTTGCTTTTTTGATCGGATGGTTCCGGATCAACATGTTGCACTGCTTTGCTTGAGCGCAGTACCCTTGTTGCTGGTTCCTCAATTTCCAGGTCACTTTCGTCATATTCACTTTCTGTTTCATATTTTTGATCAGGCACTGGCGTCGATGGCGTAGATGAGCCAGGTTCACAATCCTAATTGAATTGGGACGTGCGAAAACCGCTAATGTCCATTTTTCCAAGCTTAAGTTTTTTTGAGTTCATATTACTTTTCGGAGTTGGTTGTAACCACAAAAATGGCGTTAAAACTCATCCTGGATTTCCTAGATTTCCTTGATCTCAAAATGAGTCCTTTCATCACTTTTATGGTTGTATCGACTCTTTAAAAATATTATGAACTCCAAAATACTTAAGACTGGAAAAATGGACATTAGCGGTTTTCGCACGTCCCGATTCAATTATCATCTAAGAATGTCATAATTTTCGGTTCATCGATGTCTCCTTCCTCTTCCTCTCCGTGTAGGGTATCTTCCATTTGAGAATTATCGCAGGATTGATTGCACATCTGACAGAGAATGGTGCATCGTAAGCCATTTTTACGGCACCCACAAGTCTTGCTGCAACCTTTCTTGCACTTGCAGGCAATTAGCTTTAAAATATTTTCGGGAGCTGATGAATCCAAAGTTGTTAAAGGCGTTAGCCCATTTTTGGTGGCTTTCCAGCCCCAATTGCAAGGATCCTTCTTGCCGTGCCACTCCTGGACCTGCAAATAAGTTCGGAATGCATGCTCTGCTGCAGCGTCCTCAGTTGGTGGCAAAGACCCAAGGTTCTGTTTATTTTGAAATGAAGATTTTATAAAGCAGTCGTATCTGTACATATTAAGAGAAACTTCCTCAATGTCTTTCTGGCCATAAAGTGCAAGAAACAGCTTCTAGCCTGCAGCAGAAATGATTTCATGTGTTGATTTCGAGTCTTTAAATTCCTCTGCATATTTGATTAATTAGTAATTTTTTTTAAAAAAATATTCAATAATTTGAATTTTCCTTGATTGATAATTCCCGAGGTAGTATCACACCCAGTAAAAGCGTGAATTAAAAGAATAATATCCGCGATTATTTCATCGCCAACACTTTCTCGGTTGTACAAGACTTGGGGCTTATAGCTTATGGTCATAGCTTGTAAGCTTAAGTTGCAACTTGTCGATGGACATTCATTCGTCTCCGACAGAGGTTGCTATGATGTATTGATGTATAAGAAAGGTCATGCAAATCAGTGTTTCCATTTTTTTTCCATGTGTTGTAAATTAACTTAACATAAACTTTTGCTCGAAATATCACCGATGAAATCATTGTATTCACGTTTTATACACTAAAATGAATTTCGCCAATAGCGGTAATTGCCAGAGTAGGGAGGGGGGGGGTAATTTGAGACATTTAATATTGGGGGGTCTTCGGGGGGGGGGGGGGGTCACCTTCCAATGAAATTTTACAATCTGACTCGTAAATAAGCCCCCTAGAAAAGTCCACAGAAGAGTAATTTCGCAGATACTGGCGAACCCTGTCCATGCTCGGTTTTCAGTGCAACTTCAAAAGCTTGTCTGTGCCGTCCAGGATTAAGAAAAATTAAAAAAAGCAACTCCTAGTATCACATTTGTTGCTCTATAAGTTTGATAGTTAAGATTTTTCACGTAGAGTCGCCCCGAGAAAAGTTATTCACGAGAAAAGCGCAAGTTTCGCGAAATTCGAATTTTGGCGGTTTTTTCAGCGCGCTCTGGCGGCTTAAATTTCAGTCATATCAAAAAATTGATAAGGGCATCTTTTCTTTAGAATTGAATGTAGTTTATTTTTGAAAATAACTACTTTGGTCAAAAAATCAAAATTAAGCGAGATATTTTCAAAAACTGAGATTTTAGGCCATTTTTTCAAAATGGCGGCTTTAGCGGCGAAAAGATCTTTACACAAATGCGAAATTTGGATTCAGCGTCCAAAAATACACAGGAATCACTCATCAAAAAGTTTTCCGGAAAATTTTCCCCAAGAACTTCCCTATTGCCTGGACTACAAGGCCTACCTCTGAGTGATAAGTTATTATCGTTTTTCCTTCACCTACATCTTTTGTCCCCACTGCTCAGCAGTTTCATTTCAGACCATGCAGGGATTAGTATTACGGGCGAGTGTATCAGCATTTGACCAGATTATGTCTTATAAATTAAGGGATAGATTTTTCCCTTCTAATTTTTTTTGTTCTATTCCTTTTTTTTATCTCTTCTGTTTCGTTGTTTCTCTTCCGCTTTTGTCTTGCTTTCTTAATTTTTCATATATTTATCATTTTTTATATACCCTCATCTATACCTCTCTCTTTCGACTTTCTTCTTTCTCCCCTCTTTTTATCTAGTTTTTCTTTCTCTTTTATTTCTTCCATCTTTAATTTAATGTTTCTCCATTATTTTGAGCGCTCTATGCTATTCCGGGCTCATTGAAATACGCCGCGAGGCGGCCAGTAGATCTAGATGCTAGCCCTATTGCATCCTGGGTTATTTTAAAAACCTCTTCGTGACAGGAACGTAGTTGTATTTTCTCATCGTGATAATTAAACGTGGAGACCGTTTAGAGTGCTGGTAACAACTTTTGAATTAATGCCAAGAACAAAGGAATCTATTATGACCCTTTATGTCCTGCTAAAGCTCTCTAATATTTACGTAGCTACCAATTATCTTAGAGCAGATCGCTGTTTGAAAATATTATTTTGGGTTACACGTGCAAGCTGCAAGGCCATGTAAAAGGGTTTCCGATTGGCTGTCATTTCGGCCAAGCGCGGGGCAATGAAGGCCAAGATACACCAGCAAGTTACAAACGCTTGTTGAAACGACTGTATGGTGTCCAACGACCCACCAATCATTGCTATGACGTGACGAGACGCTAATCGTTGGGTTCTCTGTGTTCTTCTCCTCCTTCATGGCGATACAGCAGTCCTACATCCCGTATCTCGGCTCCTTCATCATCGATTTTCGTGAAACTTGGTTACTGGGGGTATTTCTCGACGAGAAACTCGAATATTTAGTCACTTTTTCGAAATTCGCAAATCCAAGATGGCGGATGTGGCCTAAAATGCTATCTCGGCTCCTATTTAATGGATGTTCGTAAAACACGGTGCCAGCCCTAGTAGCAGAGCTAAATTCACAGTATATATACGAAGTATAACCGTTATATAAAGAGCGTATTTATATAAGGAATGTATAATCAAAATATAACAGTTGTATAAAATATATACAAAGAGCGTACTTATATAAAAGACGTATAACTGAAGTATAACGGTTATATAAAGCATTTTTACAAATAACTTCTATATAAACTAATTCTAAAGGTTATTCGCGCAATTTAAAAAATTATTTGATTAATAACGGTTATACGACGGCGGTTTCCTTTGCACATCCCGTTACTTAACCGTTATATAACCGTTATATAAGTGGTATACTTTCGTCAAAATTTTTTTTATATAAACCTGCTACTAGGGAGGGGGTATTTTTCGACGAGAAACTCGAATATTTAGTTACTTTTTCGAAACCTCGCAAATCCAAGATTGTGGATGAGGCCCAAGTTGCTATTTTAGCTTCTGAAATTAATAAATTTATTTTTGTCAAACTTGGTCCCGTTGTCTCAAGAAGCCTATGAGTTGTGCTTAAACTCTCTCATTGGGTCAGATTAATGTTCACTTTATTTGCAGGTAACCCTAAATCAAGCAAACGCAAGCTGTGATGATGGAAGTTGCTTTGAACTACGAAAAATATCGATTTTGAATCGATTTTTTTTAATTTTTTGTCTATATCTTGCGTTTTCCTGATAGTAATGTTGAAGGGAAGAGAAACTTTAAATTAATGTCAATTAATTTTACTTGGCGTCTAATATTTGGAATATCATTTTATTTTAGGCGAGGAATGTTTATATTTTTAGCTTGGCAGCTCATATTTACATGGAAATGTTTTTTGTGGGATTAATATAACTCACAATTATTTTAAGGCGTTTCTATAATTCGTTCAGTAACTAAAAGCCAGGATATGCCTGAATGTGACTATGCAGATATATGCTTATGGCGCGCTCCTCCAACACCACGTGCTGGATTTACCAGCTTGTTTCCTCTCTCTTCCTCCTTATTTTCTTTCTTATTTGCTCCGACCTCTCTTTACAGGCCTCTCTTTACAGTTTTTTTTTCACATGGCAACCCCCTTTTTGTGAAACATCGATCGAAAGGGAATAAAAAGTGACAATTTTTGGCGCTAAGTGCAAGTCAAAATCTTGCTTTTTGACCAAATGGCGGCCAGTCAAAGTTCAACATTACAGAACTTTGACATCTCCGTTTTTGTTGACGGATTGGGATGAAATCTAGCATCCCAGGGTTTTATGGGACGTAAAAAACGATTCAGGCATTCATTTTCTGAAAAATTCTGTTCTTTCAAAATGGCGGCGGTCAAAATGACGACCTACAGCCGTAAGAGAATATTTAGACTGCTAATCGGTGGATTTGCTGACACTTGGTATTCGGGGGTGGTTTGGCACGAGAAAAACGAATCCTCGATTGGATTTTTGAAATTTCGAACAACTTCAAAATGGCGGTGGAAACTTGGTACTGCGGACCATACGGACGGATTTGCATGACACCCGTGGTCTTGTCGGTTTCTGGTTCGAAAAAAAATTACTTTCTCGCACTATAGTCTTGAAATGCGATATACTTTCACAATGGCGGCCGAGTTCCATGCAAATCCATCCGTAAACGTCCGTAATTCCAAGTTTCCACCATTTTGAAGTTATTCAGAATTTTAAAAATCCAATGAAAGATTCATTTTTTTCGTGACGAAGTACCCGCGGATACCTAATTTCATGCAAATCTACCTATAAGCAGCCTAAATATTCTCTTACGGCTCTAGGTCGCCATTTTGACCGCCGCCATTTTGAAAACGACAGAATTTTCCAGATAATGAGTGCCTGAATCGTTTTTCTCTTCCCATAAAACCCTCGAATGTTAGACTTCATCCCAATCCGTCAACCAAAACGGAGATTTCAAAGTTCTGTTATTTTGAACTTTGACTGGCCGCCATTTGGTCAAAAATCAAGATTTTGACTTGCACTTTGCGCCAAAAATTGTCATTTTTTATTCTCTACGATTGATGTGTCGCAAAAGGGGGGTTGCCATTTGAAAAAAAAACTTGGAGTTCGTAGTTTCTCATCGCGGAGACCCGAAAATGTTGAGGGGTCACATTGATCAATGAACATTCCCCAAAGTTTTGTTTCAAAATATTAATTAGGTAAAATTTTAGCGGAGGTGGAAGGGACTTTTGGGACACCTCGTATAATCATCTCTTTATATCACTTTATCTTTCTTTTCTTTTTATATAATTTTCAGTCAGAATGAAGTGGCTCGCAGAGCTAGTCGCGTAGCAAGCGCGGAGCAATAGCCTTGGGTTCTTAGGGGCGGGAGCCTTTAAATAACTGTGATGGCTGTCTAAAGGGAGCCCAGAAGTGTAAAATAAATATACATTTTCATGAACTTTTCTAACTTTGGCACACATATTACTTACCATGCTGTCCAATTGCGATCGAACTTATGATCATCCTTTTTGCCGCATTTCTTTATGTTGTCAAATGCTTTATATCAATTGATTTCATTTTGTGAAAGAATCTGTAAGATTTTTGGTTCATTTAGGATCAGTTTCGTAACTATTTCTTCAGGCAAACCTCATTGCCGGCAAGCCTCCTCAGTCAGGTGCATTCCTTATGTGTAGCACACCTACCTATTGTTTGTTTCTTAACATCATTCGATACAAATTTTTCTCAATTACCTGTAACGTATTTGAGTTCAATCTTTTTTCACTTATTTGTCATTTCTTTTATTCACGTTTACCTGTTTGTATTAATTTTCCGTATAAATTATTCAATTTGGAAACTTTTAAAATCTTTAAAACTCTTCACATAAATTTTAAAAAAAATATTCGTAAATTTATGGTTTTCTAAGGCAATAACATATTTAAATCCTTGGGAATTTAAGTTTAAAGACACGCTATGACCTTTCCGCCAAATTTTTATTATCATCATGTTGGTTGAGTCCATCATCAATGTATGAAATTTTTCACTTGGAGTAAGATCAATGATTGCATAACTTGGTCTTAAAGAAGTGGAGGCCAAGTTTAGGGATATTGATGTTGTAAGTCGGCAATCAAACAACTTGGTTTGCAACGTCGCAGACTTGCTATCATACTTTATTTTTTAAACGGAAAACCACTCAACGGGAATTCTTTAAAACTGCCGTGTTTTTCCTCTCTGAGCGAAGAAAATTCTGCAAAAACTTCAAGGAATGATGTCAGTTTGTTCTCCTTTAAAAAATAACATAGAGGCGGAGATTTTCAGACACCGCAACGGAGATTTATGATTGGGGACTTGCGCCATCGATATGTAACAATCCATTTGCCAATTTGTTTTTATTAGACCTTTTGGAATCTTTGTTCAAAATCGTTTGATCTTAGCCTTCCCACCTATCACTAACATAATGCAAAGTCAGCTCCGCAGGTATGTTGCTGTGTGTTGAGACTACATCTAGGGAAACGAGGCAAAATTTAATTGGGAATTTCAGTCGTAGACAAATTTAAAGAATGAACCTCTATTAAGAAATTCCGTGCCACCAATAGTGTGTGATAAAAGTCGGGAAATAAAGGTCGAGGCTGCATGAAATGGTGAGTTAGTGGTATGCACCTATGTGTAAGTACTCTTATTTTTTTTTTACAGGATTTTCTTGAAGCTTTAAAGAAATTAGAGCTCCTGAACATGATTGAGGAACAAGAGGACGGTCGATTATGTCCTGGAAATCACTTTAAATTACAAGCCCTCCTGTGCAATCTGTTCTACCCATTCCTATCAAGCTATCTGTGTACAATGAAATGCCTCCCGAATGTAAGTGTTTCCCTTTCCCAGACAACAATTAATGTGTTCCAAATTCTTGAACAATATTCTATGGTTTTCAATACATAAAAATATTTTAACAGTAGTTAGTATACTTAGAATTTTTCCAGTATTTTCTACAAATATTATTAAAGGTGGATTGCCGCATGTAACAGTGTTATAAAATGGCATTTATTTTTCTGACCGTTGCAATCATGGGTGGCGGTAGCTACCTCCAAACTAACTATAGAGGGTCTAAACCATTGAATACAATAGAGGCGCAATACACTGGAGTGCCGATGAAGTCAATCCGTGAACGGGCCATTCCAAGCCCCTTGTTTGCCAGAAAGTGGAAACCATCTGGGAACCGTTCGGCATTTTTTAACATGGCTGCTTATGGGAGAATCGCGGGCTGTGAGTGACTCTCGGGCTTTATTGGAGCCACATTCCTGTCACTACTATTTTGATTGCATTCAAGAAAGTTCCAGAAACTAATGCCACTCATCGTGTTGCAACTTTCCTCTAAAAGTCCAAGCATATTCTAGAAAACTCTCAAAAGGACACAGCGAGGGCATCAACTTAGTTGCGCATCGCCTGGAGAAAATTTGAGACTTCGAAAAAATTCGAGAAAAGCTATTTTCAGTCATGACACCTTACGAAAGTCCGAGAAAATTCTATGAAGTTCTGGAGAGGATTAATGAAGGTCATTGTTTTTTTAACTGTCACCTAAATGATGAAAATTCAAGAGAGTTCTAGAAGAATCCAGAGACAGTTACCACCGTTCTTTTAGTCCGTTCTTTAGTCGTCTTAAAACTCTTTTGTCTAAATAGTATTCAGTTACGCCTTTCACGCCGTTTTCATCGCTGTTGCATTCTAGTAACAGTTTCGCTAGCATTTGATCGTAATGTAAAATCAATCGTCCATAAAATTGCATGGGGGTTTCGCTTGGTTTCTGAGACATTACTCCCAGCTCTTCACCTAGAGTAGCTGAATCTCTTTTACCATCATAGGCCAGTATCTAACCTTTCTTTCAAGGCCGGCCAAATTTGATAATTTCCTGAGCCAATTTGGTGTGCAACCGCTCTTTTTAATTTTGCTTCACATTGAAGGAGAAACGGTACCAAATGATTATTAAATCTAGTGACTTCATATTCTGCGGCTAAGTAATCGAGTGCTCTTAAAAATCTCGGTAGCTGCTCAATTTTTCCATCGAATGAGGGAACTACTTCGAAGTCCTTATCATTAAACTTTTCTCTCTTTAACGTTGGCATTGGCATCAAAATAATTTTAAACAAACTTTCAATTTCAATCCTAATATTAAGGGTCTGGACCTATGTCAGTTCAAACCTGAGTTAATCAGATGGAAGGAATGGAACAAGAAGAATTTGACGACCATGAAATCGAAGAATCAACCAAGGATTACTAAAGTGTAAAGAGCTTGATGCAAAAACGGCTTTTTTCGCCCCCTCTGGAATTTCTTCAGACTTTTTCTTGTCATTACTCATACTTAAACGCTTCTTTTCCCAAATTTTCAGACCCCCAAAAAATTTTGGGAGGTGCCAGGGGGGGTGGAAGGCAAAACCTTTGAACCTTGATATCTCTCGAACGAAGAAAAATCGAGGTCCGGTTTGAACGAAAAATTGTCTATAATTGCATACTTTTTGATTTTGAAGGTTAAAATCCTGAAATCACATTTTTAAGTTAATATTTGTGTTTTTTTCCAGTTTTTGGGTCTCGAAAATTTCTGTTAAGCAAAGAACTTACAAAGATCTCAATTTTTTATTCGAACCAAAACTAGTTTTTTAAATGGTTCATTTTTCCGCATCCAACGAGTGGTCCATTAAGCTAGGGAACCAAACGGTTCCGGAGTTATGAGCGATTGAAGTTTCAGCTCTACGCGCACTGGCGCAAAATCCATAGGCGGTTAGAAGGGGGAAGGGGGAGGCGTAGGTGGCTTGGGTCCTTCTTCCCGTTTACCGGTAAAAAAGGAGGAAGACCATCACCCCCATTTGGTTTAACTTTCCTAAGGATTATTGTCATTCGAAGTCTTTAGAACTTTTCACTGTTTATACTGTCACAATAAATCGATTTAATTTTACATGGATTAGTGCCCTTCTTGTCCCTGGACGGGCACTTTTATTAAGTGCATAATATCTAAATACCTTATAGTAATTTTGCACTGTAATAGAGCGTACCAAATGGCAATACCGTCTGACGTATTTACACCTCATTCTAGTGACGCAGATTGTGACAATGAATCATTTAAACCTCACTTTAAGTGATTCTGATTCATTCGTCCCAAATTACAAACTACATAATATATAATAAAACGAATATGAAGAGAATAATGGTCGAAAACCGCCAAAAACAATTTTACATAATCTTGGCAACATTGCAATGCAGTTAGTTCCTTATTTTTGAGCTCGGTACATGAATTCATTTGAAACCTCCATCAACTTCATTTCATTAGTCAATTAGATCGTTCGTCAGACGGAAAAAGGAAGCAATAGCCAACAATGCGAAAATGCCAATTTCTGCTCTTTTTCCGAAGTTTTGCACCCTTCAGCGAGTTTAATTTTGCCATGGGCTAGAAATGTTTACAAACAATTTTATATGAACTTTAATGAGGATTAATTTTGAAAATGACTAATTTTGTGGTCAGATCAACTCCTCGCGAGTTACGCGAAAAAAGCTAATTATAGGTCATTTTTGCGAAATTTGACAACTTTCCGGTCCGAATTTTTTGGTGCAAAGTTGAAATTCGGACTCAGCGTCCAAACTTACATAGGAATCTCTGAAAATATTGCTACCCGAGATTTTTGCAGGCTTATTTGCCTGGATCAAAAGACATTGCTTGTGTTACGGAAGGCGTGACAACTTTTAAAAATTTGCTTGCCGATGAATGTTAGCACCGACCCGCATCGATGAGTTCGTGCGTCCCAAATGCGCACATCTGCGCATGTGCAGTACCTAGCGGTTCTGGTGAATTTTTGTCAGACTGTGAGGCTTTTTTCTCGGTTTGTAATTATTTCGGAAAAGTGAAACTTTGCGTTGCAATTCGGTTGTAAACTTACATGTTCTCCAACTTTTATCCTTAGAAATTTTGTCTGAAAATAGACTCAAAACGAATTATTAGCGACAAACTGAGCGCGCCAATTATTGCTATCTCTATTGCTTCTCTGCAGTCTCTTCAAGTGCTTAGGACACATGCTCTCTCCCCCTTCCCTCCCGCCCATCATGGTGATCTGAGAAACTTGTCACGCTTCGCCTGTACAAAACCGAGCCGGATGCACGTTCCACGTAATTCAATGTCTTCGGACCTTGTGCATACGGCTATGTGCATACAGTCGCCGCACACTAGCCTCGGGAGTTCTGGACAAGACAGCCTCAAAAAGTGACTTCATCGGCACTCCAGAACATAGCGACTCTATTGTACTCTATGGTCTAAACTCGGCAACAATGAAAGCGGTCTGAAGAAAAGGTCGCAGTCAACCATAGACACACGTTACTCCTTTATTCTGGAAATTGATTTGGATTTCACCAGAATTTAGAGAAAACGGCGCCACCAATTCCAATGATCTGATGGTGTCTACGGACGTAGCAGAATTGAGGCTACTGACTGATGAAGAGTTTTTTAAGACCACTGAATTTTCAAAAAGTTAAAAGGACTTGAAGGCCCCAAACGACGAAAATTTTTCTGAACACGGGGCTGTTAGCGGGAAAATTTGAATTATGGGTCTTGAGAAAGTCACTCAAATTCCGCGATAACGGTAAATCTTAATCCCTTAAAAGTGGGTACCTACAGAATCTGCATATTACCGTGTGCATTGATATTTCCAGTTTTTTAACATCCCTAGTGTTTTAGAAGAGAAATTACATAAAATACGACTAAATCGACTGCCGACCTGCCCGTCATAATCACCTTTCACTTAATAGATTCTCGCTTACACTGTGGCTGATTCCAGAAGAACTTACAAAGGATCAAGGTCGAGGACATGAGGATTTCACTTCTACCACATTTAATAGGGCTCCATCGCATGGATACTTTAGCATCGGCTGTTTTCCTCATGACTAACCTTAAAATTATACTTTAATGTAAATCGAATGTAGGTTCCTTCATTTATGAGTGATGCAACAGTCATGACGTGTAAGTATGTTTAGCCCTTACAGGAACGGCCCCCTTCCTTCACCTGTTGGAATTTTTATGAAAACTAAAAAAATAATAGGTATGGATCGATCTGAGCCTTTTATGTGCTCCAAAACCATAAGAAATATTTTATCGCACAAAGTCCAATATTTTTCGATTCAGGTCGTATACATATATGCTTTCAAAACACTATGAAAAAAATACTCAACCCACTGGCTGAATTCCAGTATTTTTCTTGAGAATAGTCTCCAGCTTAAATGAGTGATGCAACAATTGCGACATTGTGTTTGAAAAGCCCTTGCAGAAGCCTTTTTATTTGACTCAGCTAAATTTTGAAGAATCACTGACGTGTCCAAGGGCTAAACATACTTACACGTCATGACTGTTGCATCACTCATGAATAAAGGGGCCTACATTCGATTCACAGTGAAGTATACTTTTTCATTTCCTTTTAGAAGTAATGAGACAATGGACCAGTAGACAAGGCACGATTTTCAGCATTCTGATACACGTTTCATAACCAAAATTTCACGTAAAACACGATGCGCACAACGAAAATTACCGAAATCAACTCGTTATGAAGATATTTAATGATTCTTGAGGCGTGAATTCAAACCACCCGCTCATGAAAACTCAATGCTCTACGTGACTCACATCGCGCGCTAAACGTTATCATGACAGTCTCTGCGATATAAAAATCTGGCAACCTTAATCTTGACGCTTTAGCTCAGCTATTGCAAGTTGTTTATGGTTTGAACAGCACATGGTGGGAAATGAACATCGTTTGATTGAGGAGCTTGCTGAAACCGTTGTAGTGCACGATTTGACTCACGTAGAGCTTTGAGTTTCTTGTGAGCGGGCAGTTCAAACTCCTCGTAACCAATGTGAAATATAAACGTTAATATCTTTGTTAGGAGTTGATCTCGGTAATTTTCGTTGCGCGAATCGTGTTCTACGTGAAATTCTGGTCAGGAAACATGTATTAGAATGCTTAAATTCGTACCTTGTCTATTGGTCCATTTGGCTCACTAAGTTTCAGACTATGGCCGGATTCTTTACCCCTTTAAATCTGAAAGTTTTTCGGGATTTTTGCAGTTTTATTCTTGTTTTTCAAAGGGACTAATCATTGTGAGGTTAGCAGTTAGGGAGTCAACAAAGACGATAAGGATAGCGAAATAACTGCGCATAATTGAAACACTCTCTTTAACCTGAACTCACATCTGCTGTGATCGTTTCACAACAATCATCAGAGCTGGAAATCAGTAACTTTGCATGAATATTATTTGTATTTATTTTGTATTATTATTTGTATGAATTTGTATAATTTTGTAACTTATCATTAGCAAACACACAAAGTAACACCTACACTACTTACTTTAAGAGAAGCGACTACAACTATGAACGGAATTCATGGTTACAATTATAAGCTATCATATAGCACAGTGAAAGTCACATGCTATCTACAAGCGTGAGTAAAATTACATGATGCTAGAGATGTTCTATTCATCTGATTGTTACAATTTCGTATAAATCAAGCTTTTTCTGCATATTTTGCATGGACTATCAATCACTATCCTTATTTCGTTGCTGAGCATCATGTAATTTCACTCTCGCTTGTAGATTTTTTTTTTTATTATCTCAGAAAAATACATAGTTATCATACACTTTACAAGACTTATTATTTACATGTCATTCTTATTATTAAGACTTAACTGCAACTTAATACACAACTAGGTATCAGTACTCTGAGACGTGCCGGAATCACCCGAAGGTATATCGTCGGCCGGGGGGGTGTTGTTAGCCACCGCTAGTACTAAAGGTCCTTTATTATTATTGCTGTAAATATCTCTTTTGACAGTCAGAATTTTCTTCACATATTCGTTAATACATCTCCATTTATTCCTACTTTTAATCATTTCATTCACTATAGTCGCAGGAGTTAAGTTAACCTTCAATTCACATTCAACTTTTAATTTATCATCTATGATCTAGCGCATTCAAAAAAGGTGTGTTCTGGTGTGTCACGGACTACTGTACAAAATTTACAAAGATCACTATCAACTAACCTAAATCTATGCAAGTATGATCCAAAAGCCCCATGACCGGTAAAGAACTGTGTCAGAAAAAAGTCAGGATACCCGTGTTTCCTATCAAGCCACACCTCCAGATTCGGAATGAGGCGCTTGCACTAGACATCAGTAGGGCTATCCCTCCAACGGGTGCACCATCTATCAAAAATGTCATTATTAATTTCTATAAAATTTATTTTTACATGCTATTTACAAGCGTGAGTGAAATTACATGATGCTCAGCAACGAAATAAGGATAGTGATTGATAGTCCATGCAAAATATGCAGAAAAAGCTTGATTTATACGAAGTTGAAACAATCAGATGAATAGAACATCTCTAGCATCATGTAATTTTACTCACGCTTGTAGATAGCATGTAACTTTCACTCTACTGTACTTATAAAACAGCTTACAATTGAAACCATGAATTCCCTTCATAGTTGTAGTCGTCTCTCTTAAACTATGTTGTGTATTACTTTGTGCGTTTGCTAATGTCTAGTTGTATTTTTTGACATCCTGCCTCTGATCTTGATCGTAAAACGATCAAAAAGCTTCAGGTAGGAAAAATATAAAATTTCAAATTAAGTATGCTCAGTTATTTGGCTATCTCTGTCATCTTTGTCTTTCAAAGGGGTATAAATGAAGATCTTATTGAAATGCAAGTTTTCCCCTCAAATCTATAGATGAAGGCTAACTATCTATACCTTTTGAGACGTTTCTCAGCTAGCAGTAAATATCATGAATCTATATATATCTTGTAAAAATCCTGCCATTTCAAATATTCTCAGAGTAGCTGTTGAATTAAAATTTTAAAAAATAAAAAATGGACGAAAATTTACTTAATTTGCGGTTGAGGTGAATGAACCTCTGGACGAGGTGTGACTTTAAAGATCATTTATACTATAAGCTCTTAAACCTCCTAAATTTTCATTCCTGGTAACGCTTAGTTCTAGCATTCCACCGAGCCGATCTTCATGATTTTTGCGGTATTCGACAGGTGATTGTCCTTAAATGAGCCTGCTCTATTCAGATTTTGGGAATATCACTCAGGTTTTTATGTGTTACGTAGTAAAAGTTGCGAATTCTCCCATTAAAACAATGTGAATTTTAATTTTTTGTCACAGTTCGTTCTAGCGTTTTATCGAGCCAATTCCAATGATTTTTGCGGCTTTCAATAGATGATAGTCCATAGATGAGCCTGCTCTATTCAAATTCTAGAAATTTGACCCGAGTTTTCTATTTTAAGATAAACTGGGGAGCTAAGAGAAGTAGGGGGCAATAAGTAAAATTTGAAATTCCCGCCAATGAAGAATGAAGAAAAAATTTCAAACTTGGCAGGAAATTGAATGAACTGAGAGATGTTGAATTTTGGTTTGTTTCTATGTCTCCTTGTATAATTTGATTTTGAAATGGACGAACGGGAACCGCTGTAGGCTATAAGTACGTGAATCTAAGGTATGCTCCTTTGCTACAGACCATTTAAAAGCAACGAAACGCTTCGTTCTACCTACTCGTTTTGTTTTAGTCTCGGCGGGAAGGTTGAAATAATTTTTCATCAAGCAAATCGTATTCGATGCTTTTTGATTCAATGGGAAGCCAGAGGGAGATTGAACTAAATAGGAGAATTCGCAACTTTACTACCTAACATATAAAAACCTGGGTCATATTCCCAAAATCTGAATAGAGCGCGCTCATTTAAGGACAATCACCCATCGAATGCCTCAAAAATCATGAAAATCGGCTCGGTAGAAAGCTAGAACTAAGCGATACTAGAAATGAAAATTTAGAAGGCTTGAGAGCTTGTAGTATAGATAAACGTATTTACTATAGTTCGGAGTTAATATTAGTTATTTTCGTTGTGTGAAATGAGTTTAACGTGACATTCTGAAGGGAACGTATGTCTCAGAGTCAGAATACTTAAATTCGCACCTTGAATATTGCTCCATCATGAAATACTTATTATACCTAATTTGCTGTTTTCGAATGTTATAGGTAGGTAGTACTCTCCTCTCGTTTACCAGCTTTGTCTGTACTACCTACTCCTCTCACTCTTGTAAAACACTTCACTGATGGGTTGCATATTTCATAAGGTTTGCAGTGACTGGCAGAGTCAGGGGACAATTGTGAAAAAAGCCCAAGCTGAGATTGAAGCTGAGTTGGTGAGAGGAAATCTTCTCCATCCGTATTCTCTCTCGATTGAACTCATTCAGTCATGTTTGAAGTCTTTGCAAAACATGGGTTTGCTGCTTATGTCTAAGATGTAAGTCGTCATTTTTCACGTCTTTACAATTTCTTCAGCGAAAACTCGTTTTTTTTTTTGTTTGGCTTCGTTCCATTTTTCAGGAATTAAACCTGAAATGTAAGATAAAATTATACAATTAAATTCATTTTCCGCGCATTAAAAATTTGTCGGAGTACTTTTCTTCTGTGCTACCTATGCTGTTTTTGTTGCTATTGCAGCAAATATGCTGTTCATTATCCTACTAACAGTTTCCACGGCATCCTAAGTGGTGCCTTCTAACGAACTGGCTAGCTCTTTTGGGAGAATGCTCCAGAGTGCCGAATTTCGCCCACTCTTTACTTTTTCGTCAAGATAACCTGTCCACTGGCATAATGCAAGATAAATTTACAAATTTGAGTCCACTTGGTCCCTCTTTAAGAGGCCTGCCATTGCCTTTCATCTGTCATGAGCAGGGAATGTGAGGGTGAGGCTTTGCCAAGTTCGCTAAACAAGGATTCCATCCCCAGTGACGTTCACCAACTAGAGGTCCAGCCAATTGTGTGGGGTCATGTTTGTTATATTTGCCGCCCTGGTAATTAAGTCACCTTTTACGAAGCACAGTTTCAGTTGAATAGTTTTTAGCATGGTTTCCTCTAGTTCAAAGAAAAACAATTTTTAAACATGTTGGTAGCGGTATTTAAAATTTTTTTTATAAAAGAAGAGTCACCTTTGTACCGCGCATTACATTTTTTATTTACATTTTTACACGTATTCACAGAACGAACCGCTCTGTGAATACGTCACTATAGAAGCATGGTACAGATAATAGAAGGAGCGCACGACCATCACACTTATTGCAAGGTGGCGCCCTCTAAGTGTAATTTGTGAAAACCTGATGCCCTTTTTGCACTGATGTACCTACCGCTTATTTTTTACGAAAAACTGAGCGACGTTCTGGATACTGGTACCATTCCGGGTACTGGTGCTGTTACCTTATCTTGTGCTCTGGTCAGTGGTATACTTCATGGTCGTTACTTTACTATTGCAGACAATGCAGAACGGTCATTCGAAACTTTTTTGGTAAATATCTAGAACAGCGGCTTCGGTTCTTTTCGCTACATTTTAGTAGAAATAACGACAAAACCATCGCCAGACACTAAAAAAGAGTGGGGTGAGTGCGAAACACTGTTTTTGTCAAAAAATGAGGATCAATAAAAAATTATTCTCAGAAAGTGCCGCAATTCTGTAGCACTCGTTCGCGGCACTTCACGGAGTGGACTCCGCCATTTTGGTCACTGTTCTGCAATTACCTTCAAAAATCTAACCCAACCTAATACTAAATAAGGTAACCTAACCTAACCTAACCTAACCTAACCTAATCTAACTAATCGTATGAGAATTCTTCGAAATTCCACCTGTTGGGCCAGTGGAACTAGGGCTGTTCAATCGGTTGTTGGTAAGCGACCGAAACAGTTCCGTTAAGAAAAAGTTACGATAGGAGCACTCTTGTCGATAGCGATCAGAGTTTTCGGAGCTGGCGAAAATAAGCTGTTGCCATTTGTACATCTATTTTACGCGCCGCCGCGCCAGGCAATCTGATAAACCGACACACGGGGCAACAATGCATTGAGTGCGAGCTCTCAAAAATCCGATAAGGCCGGCTGTTGTCGATATCATCGCTACTGTCGGCACTGCGCCAGTTTCAATAAGAGACGATATCGATAGCGTTCCGGCAAGAATTCGTTTGAACACCCCTAAGTGGAACTTTCCATTTCTGCACCTATACTCAGAATTCTAACCTAACATAACCTAGGTATTATCAAAAACCTGTGAGTTGAAGTCGCAATTACGATGTTCTAACGTAAGTTTTTTCCAATTTCGCACCCCGGAAGACGAAGTTTACGTCTTGAAAATCCTATTAGACCTTACCTGATGAAAATCCAGCGAGTTTCCAGAGAAGCCGTTGTTCTAGATAATTAATACTTTGGTAAAGCATCTGATGAATATGAAAGTCATCAATCATAATGAGGAAGATTGATTTATCAGTAAGCTTGATTCTCTCGCCATTGTTTTCAATGATGACTCAAAACCAAGAAAAGTCAGTCGAAACTGCCTATTCCTATTTAACTTTTTTCACAGGGTGTAACCAGACTTACTACATTAAGCTGTTCTCTCTGTCATTTCAGCTCGGACGAAGTCCTTGTCTTGTCAAATCAGCATTTTTGGGGGAAATCGACATACAGAAGGTTTCTTTGCGGAGTCATGTTGCACTAGGCTACGAGAACACATATCATAAGTCTACCGAAATCAGTTGTCCGCGAAGGCCGCCATCTTGCATTAAGGGGGAGGGGCCAAAATACGCCGCCGGCGCTCGGTTTTTCGCTTACATCTCGAAAACAATTAATCCTACGGAAAAATATCATAGAACTCTTTTTAATGAACACAACATTTCCTGTTAGAAACACTGTGCATTCATTGAATTGTGACCACTGGTCTATGAGATATCGCCGTAGTTTTCAGTGGCGAGGAAAGTCGCATTTTGCACGATATCTCTCTTTTCCACGAAATCTGCTGTGGGGCGCAATGCCTGTCTTTATAGTCACTATGAAATCCCCCCGCCCTTACGTATCCTTTATGGTTGTATGAAAGATAATTGATTTTTTTTTTAAATTTCTTTGTTAAAAGAAAATATTTTGGCTTTATAAACTGAAGATAAGGTACAGGGGTTAGTCTCTGGGGGGTTCTGTTTACAGTTAGTATTCTAAAATTTTTGTTCTAGTTTCAAAACTGAAAAATTCATTGAATGCAAAAAAAATTGATTAGAGATAAGATTACTAGATCAAGAGATAAGATTACCAGATTAAGATATCAGATAATATAAATAAGTTAAAAACAAAGTTTTTTGGCATATTAGAAGTAGTGTGTGGTGGCGTATTTTGGCCCCTCTCCTGTCCCCCTTATTTCAACATGGCGGCTTTCGCGGACAACCGATTTTGGTAAAATTTTGATCTGTGTTCTCGTAGCCTATTGCAACGTGACGCCACAAGGCAACCTTCCATATATTGATTTTCCAAGATTACCCTTTTGTAGAGCCAGATTGATGTTGAACCCCGGGGACGATTAGGGAATGGACCCTGAGGCATCCAAATTGCATGGTCCCAGAGCCCCCCCCCCGGCCCCCCTTTGGAGAATAATAGGGGGGTCCTCACTTCTGAAGTTGGAGTTGGAGTTCACGTCAAAATTTTGAAATTGTTTATTCGGAATCGGAAAGTATGGAAAATTTTAACGTAAATCAGCACCACTATGCCCAAAATCGGCCCATCCTTATTCGAAATACTGACTCCGGAAGGTGGAGGATAAAACCTCCCTTTACAAAATGTAAGTTCCCTAAATTGACGAAGAGGCTCGAACAAAGGATGTATGCATTGGTAATCGACGGAAAGGAATCCGAATTTGAGGATCCTGTCGTCCCCAGAGGCTTCTTTGGTGGAGCACAGGCGGACCCTTCAGCTTGTACATTCGACCAGTGTGGGTTGAGTCCCCCCTTTACCGCATTGGGAGTGTCTCTGGGGAAAACGAGACCTTCAAATCCGGATGCCTCCTGGTCGATTACCCATGCGGGTATCCCTGGGTAAAGGCACCAAAATGCCCCTCCTCACGGATTTTGAATTAATGGTCTAAACCCTTTTAGGAGGTCCTAAAACATGGGTTTGGGCAATTTTTACCTCCTGACCCCAACCACCCCCCCTCCAGCCCCGAAAAACCCATTTTTCGGGGAATTCCGGGGTATTTTCACGTTTTATTTCATATCTCACGCGTTTTTCTATGAAAATTCACCAAAATTTCACCAAATACACATCAGACCAATCAGATTCTTGGATAAAAGAATCAAATTTATCGCACCATTTTCAGACGCCTTAAAAAATTCGTAAAAATTGTAAATTTCCAATTATTTCCAGATTTTAGCGATTTTAAAAAAAAATGAGAACATACATTTTTTGTTTTTGCCTTAAAATTTAGGTAATATACTCAGTTGTTCCCCAAAAAAAATTCAAGCCTCTACGCATGGTGGCTCCCACCTAAAAAATGGTTTTTTCGGCGCCAAAACGGTCAAAATGGATAATTTGGCAACGGTTTACTTGCACGCTATCAAGATAAAAACAATTAAATCACTAATTTTGGTTCCAATGTTTCAAGAAGCATGCCATAGTATCGTCAGAAAAGGTTTCAAGTCAATCGAGTCCTTGCGCCCCACGTTAAGTACCGGTTTTTGGCGCCAAAATGGTCAACATTGCTATCTCAGAAGAGGTTACTCGCGTAGGGTAGCCCTTATTTTTGACTTTACGGAAATTTAGAGTGCGGAACCCTGCAAATGGTTCCATGTGATGAAAATCGCACGATTTGGCCTCTTTGAAAGGGGAAGAAAAGGCATTTTCAATTTGGCGAGATAAATTTCATTATTTTTCTCGTAAAGTACTCTAAGAGGTGTGTTACTTCCAAAAATTCCAAAGCCGTAGCAACATTTTAAAGGGAGGGAAAAAATTCGCGAAATGACGGAAAAACGCGTGTTCGCGCGCCACGCTCGCACGCTGCTCGCTACTTAGGCTTTTTTAGGCGCGTTTCAAAATATTTTCTTCCCATTTTCATTTTTTCCCTGATATTTTCCCATCACATGGAACCATTTGCAGGGTTCCGCACTCTAAATTTCCGTAAAGTCAAAAATAAGGGCTACCCTACGCGAGTAACCTCTTCTGAGATAGCAATGTTGACCATTTTGGCGCCAAAAACCGGTACTTAACGTGGGGCGCAAGGACTCGATTGACTTGAAACCTTTTCTGACGATACTATGGCATGCTTCTTGAAACATTGGAACCAAAATTAGTGATTTAATCGTTTTTATCTTGATAGCGTGCAAGTAAACCGTTGCCAAATTAGCCATTTTGACCGTTTTGGCGCCGAAAAAACCATTTTTTAGGTGGGAGCCACCATGCGTGGAGGCTTGAATTTTTTTTGGGGAACAACTGAGTATATTACCTAAATTTTAAGGCAAAAACAAAAAATGTATGTTCTCATTTTTTTTTAAAATCGCTAAAATCTGGAAATAATTGGAAATTTACAATTTTTACGAATTTTTTAAGGCGTCTGAAAATGGTGCGATAAATTTGATTCTTTTATCCAAGAATCTGATTGGTCTGATGTGTATTTAGTGAAATTTTGGTGAATTTTTATAGAAAAACGCGTGAGATATGAAATAAAACGTGAAAATACCCCGGAATTCCCCGAAAAATGGGTTTTTCGGGGCTGGAGGAGGGGTGGTTGGGGTCAGGAGGTAAAAATTGCCCAAACCCATGTTTTAGGACCTCCTAAAAGGGTTTAGACCATTAATTCAAAATCCATGAGGAGTGGCATTTTAGTGCCCTTACCCGGAGATATCCTTTGTTATTTTCGAGCTTCTATGTCAATTTGGGGAATTAACATTTTTCTAAGAGGGGCTACATCCCCCACCGTTACTTAAGGGTTAGTATTTCGGACACAGATGGGCCGATTTTTGAGTTGTTGGTGTCGATTCAGGTAAATATTTTCTGCACTTTCTGGTTGAATAATTTCAAAATGCTGATGTAAACCCTGCATTTTGAAATGGGAAACCCCTTCTGATTTGGAATTTTACAATAATTTTAATTGTCTGGCAGCCCCATTGATAATCAGTACTTTGTCTCTCACCAAAGTTTTCAAGCTATACCATTCATTTATTTATTTTTTCACAGGAATGGATTTGTGAGGTACAAAGTAGCCAGGACCACTCTCTTGAACATCATCAGCCAATTAGGTAAACTTTGGTGTTAATAATTAGTGTATTTTCTGAAGAAAATACAGTATTGCATTCTCCCATGATGTCGGACGCAGACCCGAGACCTTGTGGAGAGCAGCGATCAAGGGTCGTAGATCACGAAAATATATGCCATTCAAATTCATGTGTATATATATATGTATGTACGTATATATGTATGTAATCACTCACCATCCATTCACTCAGCAAGATGCTAAAAAAGCTATGTGCGAACTTATCACAAAATCGTGGGAACAAGAATGGAGCACAAGTGAACAGAATCGTCTCCGTAGAGCCCCCATGCCATATCCAAGAACATCTAACCACAAATCAAGATCATGTGAAGTCCAAATTGCGCGTCTCAGGATAGGTCACACTTTTTTCACTCACAATCATATCATATCTAAAGAAAACCAACCCATCTGCCACTTCTGCAATTCATCACCTCTAACCATCAAACACATACTTTTGGACTGCTCTTCCCTCCGATATCTCCAATCACAGATCTACTCCCCTACAATCAACAGAAATACAAACCCTCTTACATGCGATGAACCTAATATTACCACCAAAATTCTAAAACTCTTCACCTCTCTTACTTTAAAAATCTAAATTTTCGTTTATATTCCTATTTTCAAAATTATCTGTAAAGACGTTAATAGCCTGAGTCGCTGAATGTCTTAAAATTATATTAACTAACTAACTAACTGTATATATGTATGTATGTATGTATGTATTTCCGCCTTTTTAAGATTTTTCGATTTTTGAGTAGTTATATCTTTCTTACGTTGAAAGATATTTAGACCAATTTTTTTGCATTTAGTAGAGACTCATTAGAACTACTATTCTGCAAAAAAAAAATTGAAATTTGAGGCAATAGATTTTGAGGGGTGGGGCTCGAAAGTGGGGGGAGGTCAAATCTTGTCCCTTCGATAACTCGAGCGAAAATGAATATTTTGAGCTGAAATTTTTATGAGTGGTAGTTCTCTCCTAGGACTGGTTTGGTATTGAATTTGAGCTAAATCGACCGGGCCGTTTAAAAATGGCGAGCTTTGAAAGTTTAGGCGGGGGTTGCGCGGCATGAGGGGAGCCGGCCGGAGCAGGGCTGCACAGTGGGTCAGGGGAGGAAGTTTTTGGACAAAATTTTCGTAGCACAAAGGGTCAGGAGGAGGAAGTTTTTGGACAAAGTTTTCATCGCACAGTGGGTCAGGGGGAGGAAGTTTTTGGATACAATTTTCGTCGCACAGTGGGTCAGGGGGAGGAAGTTTTTGGACAAAATTTTCGTCGCACAGTAGGTCAGGGGAGGAAGTTTTTGGACAAAATTTTCGTCGCACAGTGGGTCAGGGGGAAGAAGTTTTTGAACAAGCTTTTCGTCGCTCAGTGGTTCATGGGAAGGAAGATTTTGGACAAACTGCGCATCGCACAGTGGGTTAGGTGAAGAAAGTTTTTCGACGAACTATTCGTCGCACAGCGGCCTAAGGAAAGGAAATATCTGAAAAAAGACTATCCATTACACAATGACTCACAGACGTACGATTTAATGACTACAAAAATCCCACCTCGGGAAATACACTTCCTTCCCGCGGTGGATGCACGGGAAACTTAAAAAGAAGAAAAACTAGATGTGCAGACGACGCTGAAAAGACGCGCGCGTCCCCCAAAAACCGGCGCGGAGCGAAGCGGAGTGCCGGTTTTTCGACTTGCATTATTTTCAAGCCCAAAAGCAACAATAGGTCTATTCCGCCTATTTTTTTTAAAAATCAATTTCCCAATAGTGTGCATCATTCTGAGCTTAATTAATTTTTCTCTGAATTTTTTGACCCCCCAAACACCCCAAAGAAGCTCCTTAAAGTTCATAAATTTTTGGCGGGAAATTTCAAACTGTTGGAGGCCGTATTCATTAGATTTTCTTGCTATAATATGAGCTCTTCATACTGTCTAGTTGATAAAAACATCCCTAGAACTTACAAATCGCATCAGATGATTTAATTATTTCTGATGTATCGCAGCATGTCCTTGAAGGTGAGGTTATATTTGCAATCTTATCTGGGATACATATAAGTACTACTTTCATTGTAAAACTCTCATATAATGTAGTATTAGTTTCCTTATTACCAGAGGCTATCTGCCGTAGCATGTTGTAGCTTTCTAGATCTATCATTTTGGATATGAGATCCATAGATTCTACTTTTTTTGCATAAAATGTGTCAGGTGCGCTAGCTGACTAGCTGAGGGATCAATGTAATCTCATTTGAACATTTTTACTTGTTCAAATCTGTCTGCTCACAAGTAAATTATTTGTAAATATCATCAATTTTATATTAGGTAAGATTCTACACCATCCAAGCACCAGCTATGAACTGTTGGTGGTCCTTGATCACCTGCCTGGTTGAGGAGTTACCCCTTCCGTTTCATCCAGTGCCTGTTTGGATGAATGTACGGTATTTTGATCATTACATATAACTAATTATGCAAAGGTATATACAAAAACTACACAATCATGATATCGAGGGTAAATAGTTGAGTCAGTTCCCATCATATTTCCAAAACATCCAATGAAAGGTAGCTGTTGCAGTAAGCAGGATAAGGATCAAAATAACCTCACTCATACTGCAAATATACTGAAATACTGGAACAATAAGTCTTCATTTGGAGTCAAGTAACGGATACAAACCTGGTTCTACATGCGATGATATGTTTGAACAAAAACGGGTAAACAGCATTAACTTGAACAGCAAATACCCGTAAAGGAGCACATAAACATACTTTTGGGACTTCCTTAGATGTTTTCAGTTTTAATCTGATGTGATTTTATAACATCCGTTGAAGCAGTTGTAAATTAAAGGATATGAGGGACTGATAACTGCAAGAAAATTTGGTGATATAAGTTACAAATTGACTTACAATTTAGTTAGAAGAATGACCTTATATTCTATACATGTGGGGAAACACAGGTGCATCGAAACAGCGGGAAAAAGCAAACAAGTTGCGACGTACGCCGACCAATGTCACCAATGAGAGGCCTCCGTTTGAACTTTAAACTTTATTTGGCTTCTGCAGCTTAAATATCGAACTTAGAGTGTTTTCAACCACATCAACGGTTTTCCTGTGAAAAAATTATTTTGGAAAAGCACCTTACTCTCCAAATCTTTCCCGAGTGCAACAGACCCATTGAGGTCCCTGCACCATAACGGCCTAAACGCGTCTAGGTCGTCATTGCCCCCATAGATTTTTCGGATTTTCCGTACCCTGGACTATACTGTGATATAGGTAGAGCATTGTTAGGTAACGGCTGGAGGTCAAAAATCCTTTTTTCTCGAGTTAAGTCAGGCCTCTTGAGCAATAGGTGGAATAACAGCCCATACGCGTGAAGGTCTTTCATGCGTCCATCATTCGAGAGAGAGAGTCCATCACTCGTTTGAGAGTATAGCTGACAGTGGCTGCTCGTTCATTTTGCGCTTTAAAAATTCGGTTTACTTTCTGATTTCAACGAAAAGGATTGTTAGGCGCAAGAGCGGACTATAAACTGATTTTTTACTTCCTTGCTCCCCTAGGGTTGAGGAAGTATTGTCATCCTTCGAGAAGGAAAAAAAAAAAATTGAAATTTCATCATTGCTAGAAGTTTTAAGGTCCCTGGAGTCAAAATAACAATACTTGAAAAAATGTGTGTCCGTCCGTCAGGCATCCCTCCAAATATGTGTACAGCCATATCTTAGAATATATACGTTCAATTTCATTCTCAATTTGTAGAGAAGACCATATCTATGGTCTCCTTATGCACATAAAACGATTTTGGGGTACGCTAAAATTTGGGGGGGCTAGGGACCAAAATTGATTCTTAGCAAAATCACACGGAAAGCTCATTTTGAAGGACTGTACATTTTGTAAAATGCCTTTAATTCTTTAAAAGTGGGCATCAAACACACCACCTGGGTCACTGATTTAAGTTCCGAAAAGATCTTTGGACTAAACTCAAAATTGAAGGGTTACGCGTCATATAGTGAGAGCACTTAGATCACACAAGGAGTTCACTGAAAAGGGTTGTAGATTTTGTAAAAAGGCGTTTAATTGTGTGAAAGTTGGCACAAAGCACCACTTGGGTCATTAATTTAAGATCCTAAAAGATCTTTAGACTAATCTCATAATTGAAGAGGGGCCAATAGCAAATGGTGAATTCTCCGATAAATGAGTTAAATAATGAGTTAATAAATGAGATAATAAGCAGCAATCGCTTTGAGTCAGGTGAAACCTAGGATTTCAAATGTGCTTTCTCCAAAATCACTCCGTGTACATCAATAATAAGAATGATACTGTTCGAACATGATTGATTCATTGATTACATCGAGTACAGGAAGCATGAATCAACTATTTTATTTACCAAATTGCAACTAGCAAGTGAGGTTAGTGACAAAATTATGACAAGTTGATGTTGTGAGACTCTGGCGCGACGCTGCGCCTCCGGCGGGTGGGTGGTGAATCATTATTCATGCGGGTAGAGGTCCCAGGCGGAGAACCTCATATATTGCCAATTTCGTTTACAAAGATTCGTAGGCTCCGTGGCCCAACGGCTAAGACACTCGTCTCTTCGCTATAGTGACATGTGTTCGAATCTCTATATTACCATAAAATTTTACTGACTCAATAAATCCTGCATCATAATTCTTGGTCCAAATAAGTCACAAAACTCATTTTTTTAAATATTAATTTCATTTGGTATTAGTTATGCCAATTAAAAATAGGTCAGTACCTAGTTCAACGAGTCAGTTACGCTCGGGAGGGATTTGCCTGCAAATAGTCGAGTCTTGCAGTTTTTGGTATGAGAAGAACGATGCGCACCTTAAAATTTCACGAAATATTGTCTCCGCGGATATTTAACGCTTCTTTTTTAGGGGTACTCGAAAACATGTTTGAACCGACCGCGGTGAATCTTCGAATCTACGCGTCATAGACGGGAAGATGGCGGCGACGAAGCCAACTTTACCACCGCCATGCTGCCGTCGTTGACATCACGATTTCTCCTTTGAGGTTAAGTAAGTTCTGCGTGAATGTTTCATATCCTATATAAATCTGTATATCATTCTGATTGAAAAGCTTAAAGAATTGAGAACAATGGGTATAAATCTAAAACAAAGTAACCCATGTAACCTCCAATTAACCAACAAAAACGCCGCCAACGCGACGATGCCGTGCATTCTTCCACCACGCATTCTGCCGCCATATTGATCGTGACGTGTACATTAGAAACCTACGAGCGCGCGGTTCAAACGCCGTTTTAGGCCACCCTAATTTTTGGCACTTTCAATTAAACTTTTCTCCCGTTTGCAGTCATCAAAAAAAATTAGGAAAAAATCTGTAAGCTTCGGTCACTTACTACTTTCGAATGACACAATAAAAAAAATGACCTAATTGACTCATTAAAGAATTTGTGTTAAAGCCGTGCCTTCATGTTAACTTTGCGACCTCCGACAAGGCCGGGGCGGAGCGCCAGCTTCAGTGAGAAAGTTTTTTTGCAGTATCCGCACCACACCGCCAAGCGGAGGGGGCGAAGCCCCTCACATGCTGGTGCGCGGCGCCGGTTCGCGCCGCGCACATTGGCCAATTTTTCAATTAAGAATACTTCTGTGAAAACCGGAAATGTATCGCAATATTAACTTGGCATCCTCCAACAGTAGGGTTGGGTCACCTAAAAACGGTGGGCCTGCAAAGCACAGTCGGCGTAGTGCTTCAAATACAAAACTCATAACGCGCTTTCCAGTTCGAGGCTGTTATTCGTGGAGTATCCTCGATTATTCATGTTCGGAGAAACTTCAGCTTATTAAATATTTCGGGGTATTGAAATTCCAAAAATTTCAATATTGGGTTTTTCGAGGGATACCTTGCCGCAGTACCACTCACAAAGAAAAGGGGGGAAAAAAATTACTTCATTGGACAAGTTTTGAACCTGTAAGTGTAAAAATTTTGCAAATTTTCCAGTCTTTCTTCAAAGAATCCCATTTCATATGAACAACTAGGAAACCAATCGTTTATTTTTGCTGCATTTTCAATAATGCATTGAATCGCAAAAAAGTTGATCGCATTTAGTTAAAGGTTTGTACACCCTACGCCTCTGATACACCAAGAAGTAGATTGGGTTTTCGGTGCATGTTTGTGCTACAGTAGTGCGTTTTGCTAACTTTAATTCAAGAAAAAACATCTTCTTCATGGTACCACTGTAAGCAGCTCCTGATCAGCAAGATTAAGGGTCAGCATATTGTAGTGACTCAATTACTCCTCCGGAACAAATCCTCATCACTCAGTAAATTTTATTTCTCTCTTTTTTTCAGAGGGTCTTATCATCCGGCCTGTAGAGAAGTGCAATGATGCCAGAGCAAATGTCAAGCGTCTAATGACTTTCACAGGGAAACAAGCAAAATTATAATGGCAGATTGTTAGAATGCAGCAAAAGTATTATTGGAGTGCATAATGAAGTGCTAATTTGCTGTAATTGATAACCATCTAAGTATTCTACAAAATAATGAAGAAAAGATAATAGAAGTAGTTGTGAAACCCATGTAGGATGTTTGATTTATTTACAAGGATCCTGTTGCTCCCCACAGCTCCTCGAGTGTCCATAAGATACCATACACGAGCGGAAATAAAAGTGTTGAGTGGGGGATGGGTGTTAATAATTTTACTTCATAAGCATAAAAATTGATTCATGTTATGAGAGATTGGTTTAATCTAAGTTTCTTAATTAAGTCAACTTCCAAACAAGGAAAATTGCGCTTTGGAAAATAAAATAATATTGACACACACACTGGCATAATTTTTATGGCACCTAAATATAGAGAGTACAGAAGAATTATAATGACCGATTCTGAATGAAATAAAAATCGAGCGCTTGAGATTGCAAGGCAATTGGAATCATTTTAACAAATTTTAAATCGTAAACCTGGCAACACCGCAACTCTAAATTGTTCAAATATGCCTTCTCTAATCGAAAACTCTCAGATTGCACATTTCTCATACAATTTTGGAGGAAATTACACCTTGAAACCTTCATTTTATCATCACATTAGATATTTTGGAGTCAGCAACTTGGCAATGCTGCCGTGAGGGCAAAAAATTTTGTACGGGCATGAAAATTCAGTAAAAATACATGTTATACCAGGTGAAAAAATACTAAAAATTCAGATCGATCTCGGCTAGTATGAGGGAGAAGAGGTTTAAATTGTCGTCCCATGCCCAGTTTGCTATTTTACCCTTAAAAGACCTTAAAAATTCAATTTTTTTTCGAAAAGCTCCAACACTCTATTTCGAAATTGGCCAAAAACCCATCAAGGAGTACCCTAATGCAACCTGCGATTTGAATTTTTGATTTTGAATGGAAATCACACCTCGAAACCTTCATTTTATCATATAATTCGATATTTTGGAGTCCGCACCTTGGCAACACTGCTGCGGAGGCAAAAATTTTTGGACGGGCATTAAAATTTCAGGAAAGTCACATCTTATACCAGGTGAAAACATACTAAAAATTCAGATTGGTCGAGGCAAGGATGTGAGAGAGGGGGTTTAATTTGTCGCCCCATGGCCAATTTTGCTATTTTAACCCTGAAAAACCACATAAATGCGATTATTTTTCCGAGACCTCCGATAACCAATTTCAAAATTGCCCAAAAACCCATCAGGGAGGTCCCCACTACAACCTCCAAATTGAATATTTAATGTACTATCGCCGAATTTAGTTTCACGCATAGGCCGCTCCAAATCAAATGTAAACTGTGCGACGAGGCGCAGCGCGGCGTGGCGCGTTTCGAAGATATCGGGTGCTGACTGGACCTATCTCATTTCATGCCAACGAGGAAAACGGAGGCACATGAACAATTGACAAATCTGCTACTTTTTCAAGAAAATATCCCTCAGACAAGCATCCATAGGTGCAAACCCATAATAGACAGCGCAACACCGCGGTCACTCGAAAATAGAGCTAAAATTTCATGAGGTGCAACTGATTTTTTCTTCTAGACGCCGAGCCGTGCCGGCAGGTTACATGGAGTTCTTTGGGGTAAAGGCGTATGCGCGCATCCGCCCTTTTTCGGAAGAACGCGTTTTCTGAAACTGGATTCTTCCTAGTTTCAGCAAATATACATAGTGTATTAAAAAGTCCTGCCCCCCCCCTTTTTTACATAACGATCCACATTATCTTGTAAGGATCATAGGGGAATGTAGTCACAATGTTCCGTTTTTGCAAGTATTCTCTCAAAGACTTGTTCTTTCAAACTAATTAAATTTCGTGCGAAGATATTGGCTAGTACCAGCGCTATACACTTCTGAACTTTCAAATGCGAATTTCGTGGAACTACTTTTTTGAGAACACACCCTCTTGTTCCAAAGGACTCCTTAATTCAGGATATACTTCTTCGCGCAGGCAGTTTGAAAATGACGCAAAACTGGTCCGCTGTTGAATATGAAAGATTACACAAGTATGCACCGAAAAAAAAATGAATGCTTCATTAGCGAATTCTCGTTTAATATTCAGCCCTGGGTCCAAGTATGACCTCGGTTTGTCCCTGTTTCTGCCATTTTCCAGGCGAATTGGGATTATTTAAAAATGCATTTTCCTAGGAAAATTTGAATTTCTGGAAATTGATGCATGATCGAGATAAACCGAAGTAATTCTTGAATTTAGGAGCCAAAGATACATGGACACTAGCCAGACGTGTATCGCATACAGCATGTCCAAAAAACATGCCTCCCTTTTTCTGATAACGAGGTTTTCCGGTCAAAATGGCATTATCCACCCACGAATCCTATATATAACTGATCCGTTGTTTTAAGTCCGGAAGGACAGAAAATCATTTTATTCAGATAGCTATAATTGGGCTACTATATCTTATTTTTTGCTTCTGACCCCGAATCGACCTTTGTTTTTTCCACAACCCACTAATTTTCCGAAAGATCGAGTTTGCAACAAAAAAAACCCTTATTCAGATGCCAAAAATACGCATTTGAATAAACATTCGGATTTCCAAAATATCGGTCAGAGGTATATGTATAAAAAAAGAAGAAAAAAACACGGCCATTCTCTGATTTAGCAGCAAAAATATAGTTAGTGGAAGGCCCTCCATTGGGGACCTAGATAAAATAATTTTTCCGTTCTTTCGGACGAAAAACAAAATGATGCGTTCCACATGGGGCTTTACAAGCGCATTATGTCACTTGACTGGAAAAACATTGTCATCTGACAAAGAGAGAGACATTCGTTGGACATGCAATGCCTGTATCCTTTTGTATTTTTAGTTGCTCGATCCAAAAATTACCTTATTCATTTCTATCGGACACGAGTTCCCTCGTAAAATTAAACATTCCTCGCATGGACGGACTGGCTCACATCTAAGAGCGTGGACCCTTGGCCGTCTAAGTGGGTGTCGTACGATATTCCTCGAGGGATGCACCCCACAGAAAAAAATTCAAAATTGAACGTGTTAAAGTGACCGATAGACTTGTGAAACGAAAAAAAGAGAACGAATCACAGCTACTAGACGCATCCAAGCTCCGTTATTGCTAGAGAAACCGAGGCAGATCTGACCACCTAAAATACTGCATTTAAATTTTTACTTTTACTTTAACTAAAAGTAAAAATCTGTTTATGATATTGCTATATTAACTTCCCGCAGAATTGCAGGAATATTTCATGCAGGAGTCTTTCGATAAAATGGAGAAGAATGGGTGGTAAAAATTAAAACGGTCATCAAAGGACCTTATTCAAAAGCGGCCATTTCCAACCTCGCCCTGATCTTCGAAATACTTTCAGGGTCGATAGAGGATCACTTTCCGAGTCCAAAACACCGACGATTTTTGAAATCAAACAAGTACGGATAGAGGGAAAGGGGTTCAAAGATAAATATTTCAACTCGCACACGGAGAAAAAAAACTCGGGCGTAGGATCTGATCTGTTCGGCACAATGTTTTTCCGGTCAGAGACCTGATGTATCGGTTACTCGAACGGAGCTCGTCAGAGCAGGCTTCTGAGGTCCGCAATGAACCTCGGGTCACGGAGCCGAGTGACCACAGGAGCCAAATTTGATCGAAACTTCAGATGAAAGAACCGAATATTTAGGATTGTTGACCTGAAAACTTCAGCAGTTTTTCCTGCCGAAAAACTTCAGATGCTGTAGCTTAACTTCGGATGGACTCTCTGAGATGTTCAGCAGAGACGACCGAAAACTTAAGTAGCTACTAAACAAGATGGCTACGAATTAATTTAGGCCACATTACGAGTTTTTCTAGCTATCGCAGAAAAGGAAAAGCAAAAGTTTTTAAGTATCCCGCTAAATTTTTAAATATTCCGCGCTTGGCGTCGTTGAATTGTGTTACGGTGTTTATCGGTGTTTCGGTGTTGTGTTTGTGACAATAATGGCGGTTCAGTTCTGTTACCTATCAGTCAACAGTTCTCAATTACTGTCCAATTCAGAAGTATTCAGAGAATCATGCCGCTGCCGCAGTCTTCGCCTTCGCTGAAGAAAATCTTGGTGGAGTGGGGCTTAAGCGAGGATTCCGCAAGGTTTATTTCAGGTACATACACAATACACTTTTTATTATTTTGCGCTATCACATGCAGCTCATGCCTGCCCGCCTGCAACAGGTTGTATCACGCCGGGTTTGTATTGGTACCTCACTTTGACGGCCGACAATGGTTTTGGTGTGTTATTTTTGTGGAGTATTACTATAATTTGTTTGCTGTAAGATACTAAAATCAACAGTATATAGTTGCAGAGTATTTGGTGAAATGTTAGTTACCTAGGAGGCTTTGAATTTGTATTCAAATTTTGATCTAATGGACCACTAGACAAGGTATGCATTTAAGCATTTTGATACATGTCTCTTAACCAGAATTTCACGAAGAACACGATTCTTGCAATGGATATTACTGAAATCAACTCCTCATTAAGATATTAACTTATATTTTACATTGATTACGGGAAATGTGGATTCCCCGGGCACAAGAAACGCAATACTCTATATGAGTCTAATCGTGCATTGCATCGGCTTTGGCAGGCTTCTTTATGAAGCAGTATTGTTTCTCCACCCTGAGTTGTCTAGACTGTGAACAACAAGCAAAAATGGAGATAAAGTGCCAAGATTAAGATTGTAATATTTTCATACTACAGAGAGACTTTCACTGCAATGTTTAGTGCGTGATTTAACTCGCATAGACCATTGCATTTTCATCAGGAGGAGGTTTGAATTCTCGTGTCCAGAAACATTAAACATCTTGGTTAGGATCGGTTACTTTCAGTAATTTTTTTTGCGCTAATCATGTTTTATGTGAAATTTTGGTTAAGAGACATGTATCAGAAAGCTTGACTCTGTACCTTGTCTAGTGGTCCATTTGTGAGGGAAAATTGCACAAGTATGCTCGCAGGACAAGCTGTACCTGCTCAACTTGTTTTTAATTATTAATTGACTGAATATTGTCTGATGAATCTTCTGTAAGGAACACCAAATGAGGCAACCTTTTGCTTTACCTGGCATGAAATGTTGCTTAAACACAACTGAGTTCAATGGGTTATGACATTCTGGAAGTAAATTAAATCACACCATTAAATTGTATCCATGTCTTAAAATTTGACATAGAATTTGATCCCTGGAACTCAAGATCTTAATAAAACATCACCAACCGATCATTAATTAAGCCATTATTGGATTCAGTGTTCCTACTCTGAGAAAAAGTTTCCAGGTACCTAATGATTCCTATATGAGAATTCTCATTGAGTCAACTGAAATAGCTCTCCCAAGTGAAAGGGCGTCTCATTGAAATACCTAAGAGACACTTCGTTTGAAACAGAGGGATTTCCTGCTGACTCAACAAGAATTCTTGTCCAGGAATTATTAATTGGAATTTCTATGGGCCCAATAGAAAATTTATCTTCTGTTCTCAAGTAAATAGTCTTTACTAGAAGAACTCATTAAACCTGAGGTGTTAGCTTCCTAAGAGTCAAGAGTGTCTTTCTGTACAGTGACTAAAGCAAGTGAAGCAGATCAATTTCAGGTGAGAAGGAGCGTGTAAATGAGTTCATGAGATAAATTTGCACTTTTTGTAAGTTCTATAAATCAACTGACCATCTACAAAAGTCTGAACCTCATCTACAGCCAGAATTTGATAAGTATGGGTCCTTTTTCGCAAAATGTTTGAACATTAGCTGTCAAAATTGGAGGAAATGGCACATTTTAGTATCATGAATCAATAGTTAGAATATGGAAGGTTACTTATTGTGTCACTTAAGCGGAACCTTGTTGACAGCAGTCAAATATTTTTTACCTCTAACAATTTATAAATGACCATAATGAGAGAGAATCCTAAGGAGATTACTTGAGGAGCTGAAACCACTGAATTGCTGCTCCCAATCAGTTGGCACACATTATTCTGATCAAAAACCATTTTTGAAGCTCACCATATTCTAAGAAAATAGTGCTTGATAAATATTCGATGAGGAAAAGGAGGTAATTTTTTAAATTGTTTTTGTGCATTATATTCTAATTTGAAGATGCTAAATATCTACTTTGCATGTGTTTCTAGAAAGTGGCTATGTACTCGAAGATTTACTCCTATCAGAGCCAGAAGATCTGGGACCAATAACAGACCTCCTAAGTCACCCTGAAACACTTAGATTGAAACGAGGGATCCTCAAAGCCCGGAAGGAAACAGCGGAAAGTCAAATTACGGAAATTTATGAAGTTCCTGCAGAGGTTTGTTAATTTCCTTTTTTATCTTTCTCTCCTCAATGTAACTTGATCATGAAAATAGTTTTATTATGATCGCACTTGAGTTGCAGGAAATTTGTTTGCCTTGCGCAAATGTGGAGTTCAATCAAGGAAATATCCTTGAATGAGACTTCATAAACACCAAACCAACTGAAAACCCCCTGAAAATCTGAAAACAGAGGGAAGTAGCTCTTATGAGCACAATTATCCCTCAGAGAGATTCCCTGTTTGGTGCACCAATTGCAGCTATTAACTATCTACGCAAACTGAATGCGGTAGACGCAAGAGTCGTAAGAAGGGTAAGTTGGAATTTTTAGCTAACGTGCGTACAAATCAGCGTAAAGCTGAAAATCTCTTTGGTGCATTGGTGCACCAAACAGCGTATCTCTCCGAGGGAAAATTGTGCTCATATGAGCTTCTTCACTCTGTATTGAGATTTTCAGCTTTATGCTGATTTTAACACACGTTAACTAAAAATTCCAACTTACCATCTTTCGATTCGTTCGTCTACCGCATTCAGTTTTTGTAGATAGTTAATAGCTGCAATTAATAGTTAAATTTTTGAGAAATGGAAGCTTCCGCTGCTTGAAATGAAGATCTCTGTCTCCCTGTACTTTTTACCTCGCAACTGTTCTGCCGTGCCAAGGAAGATCGCTGTATGAAAATTCGAGAGTTGCCAAATTTCCGCCGATAATATTTTTATTTTTGAGGAACTTAATGAATATTTTTACTTGAAATTTTCAGCAACTTTTGATGAAATTGCGAACAAAATTATCTAAAAAGTTGAGAGGAAAGTATTTATAAGTTTACCAGGAAATTCGGTAATGCTTGAAGGTTCATACGGTGTTCTTTCATAGCACGGCAATATTCTTCAATTGATTTCCTCATTTTCAATTAAAAAATTTGACGTTTAAGTTGGGTCTTAGAAATGGATCAAAATTGTAAAAAAAAAAGAAGATAATACCGACTTTATTGCTTCTGCTGCTTTGAAACAACTGCAGTAAATATTGATTGAAAAGCACTACATCATGTTTGTAAAACTGTGGGTCCGGGAGGTAAGGTTCTAAAACCTAGCTGTGTCATCGGAAAAAAAATTAAACTGATATTACTAGGTGACAACACTGTACTAAAAGTATGATTGAAACACATGAAAATCAGTATTTTGTCTCTTGGCCGATTCATCGTTAATATACTAGGCCAAGATAGTCTCTAAGTGGCCCCTTAAAAAATGATATCAAATTTGATAATATTCAGACATGAAGCATATTACATACCATGAGTAACATGAATTATTATCACCCAACTGAAAAACATTGCCCTGTTAAATTTGTGTTATCTGATGGTAATTATTTTTAATTTCAGGTCGATTCACTGTTAATCGATGCTGTCCCAGTCATTGATGTCTCCGTGCCGCCCTCAAAAAAACCCAGAACTGACCCTCCTGTGACCAATGATACGACTCAGCAAGTTGAAAGCAGTTCAACAAACAGTTCACAGTTTAATCCTCTAATTCCTCCACAAAATTTTCTTAATCACTCAAATGGTTTAATCAATCCATCAGTTCAAATTGTACAATTAAAACCCAAAAAGGTCATAATTTCTTCTCATGAAGTCCTTCTACAGGCCCTGCAAGAGGATAATAAGGGGACAACTATTTTACATCTTTATAAAATCAATAAAAAATTAGGAGAAGTTGAGCAAGGAATCTTGGCCAACTTCATAATTAATACTGAATTAAGTCAGGAGAACAAATTCATTAAAGCTGCTCGTTTTAAAGAATTATCATTATTCATTAAAAGGATCTTCCCGTCAGAGGATGAAGTCACTTGGTACAGCCCGTACAAGCCCCTGAAAAATGGGCACGGCATTCCAGCTAGAGGAAGACTTTTGAATGCATATTACACTGCAAGAAAAGCTCTAATTCGGTGGGGAGTTACGCCAAGTCAGAGGGAAAAATTCAAAAAAACACCAGGTAAGTTTTTTCCTCTTATTTGTAAAATAGTGAACATTTAAAAACTACTAGTATTATCTTTTTTTATTTTCTTCCCTTTTTTTCCTTTTTTCTAGAAATAGGTCATAATGGCGAGTCAAAAGAAAATGATTGTTACCTTCTTCTTTACTTACAGCAGAAGAACTGAAATTTGAAAATTGTTCCACAAAAAATGTACCATGTACCTTTCATTTTCACAATTTTTCAGTTAAATCTCTGTCGGTTTAACAAGCAATTTTGCTTGAACTCCTTTCTTTTAACTCTGCAAAAACCTTAGTTGACTAGATTTGGACCATTTTTTATCTGGTATGTAATGCTAAGTTCTTTAGAATTATCATCCAATCGCTAATTATTTAAAGAATTTTTTTTTTTTCTTTTTTAATAGTGCATTACAATGTATGAGTCTCACCATTAACAATTTAGTTTCAGGAACACTAGACACTGGAAAGGAACTGACAAAAGAAGAAAAGGAGGAACTTCTGAAGAAAATTGATTTTATACAGAAGCATTCAAAACCATAAAAACTGTTGAAGCCCACTGGCAGGATACATACGAGTACAGAAATAAGGGAGAGACTCCAATTCATGATTACTACAGCACCTACCCTATTTTATCCACGAAAGATGGTTACAAGTTGGTAAGTATATTTATTTTGCCTCCCCTAAATTTTGCAATGTCTAAGTTGAACTGCAAAGCAAAGCATTGACCGCATCTTTTTGATAGCCATGAAGTGGTACGCTAGTTGAACAACCAAATGGACTGTATTTTGCAATTTGGACCTATAAATTCGGGCCCGGTTTGAAAACAACGTATGTGCCATTAGTTTCCCTATGCACATAAGTGTTTTTTCAGATGAGCCAGAATTTATAGGTCCAAATTGCAAAATGCAGTCCAAATGATAAATGCAACGCCAAAAATAGAGATTGGACCTCACGACCGTTTCATAATCCCTCTTAATTAAGTGAAAAATATTTTTCCTTTGAACACTATTTCATATACTTCTTTTTATAAGCCATTTTAGCGGAGCAGTCTAATTTTTGGAAATCATGAAGACTTTTTGTACAAGTATATGTGGCGTATGAAATTGCTAAGAGCCAAGGAAACAAAAGAATATTATAAATATTCAGCAGGCATGCAGCTAAACTCAGTATTGCCTGCCTAAACAAATGTATTAAAAATTGGGGTTGCAGCAATTTTTTAAGCAACATGGTAAGTTTTGAGCCCCTCATATTTAGGTGCATCACACACATGGAATTTAAAAATGTAGAAGCATCAGGCTCGTAGCCAGCATTCTGTGGGGGAGGGGGGAGGGCTTCAGCCCCCCTCCATCCTTCCCCCTTGCTGCGTGCTTGAGGAGCACTGTCTACAATGTTTCTGTTTCCTTTTTCTCTTTATGCAGATGATTTCATTATTTCCCTCCTTATTTAATCCCTGAAGGGTTGTGGGAGGACCGGGTACTGTGGCGGTTAGCCGTTGCAGAGCCTCAAAGAGCACTGTAAAAGCGACTGTATGTATGTACACCTAGAGAATGACTCAAACGTTTGCTATATCTATTTGAGATGCAGTTTCATTTTTCCTCATGCCTTCACAATAATTATTATACTGTGTTTCAGTTGGTGAAAGATTTCCTGGTTAGATATCCCGGTTTTGAGCACAAATTTGTAACAAATTGGACTACTTTCGTCAGGGAATTTTCTGAGTTCGTAAACGCCAACCCAACCTCCTATGAGGCTATAATTGCTTCATTCAATATTGACCTGTCTGTAGAAGGTGAGATTCTTCCTTTGGTAACTCTCTTTATTCCACACCTCTTAAACCTCTCCATGAGACAATTCTTTTTAAAAAGACCCACTTGTGTTGTTCCGGAACCACCTACTATGAGGGAAATCTGAGAAAAGCATAGAGTTTTTCCTCCAACAATCAGGAAAGTCAAGGAAACATCAAGGATATTTTCCTGGAAGAATAGGGCATTTTTTTTCATAACATCAGGGAATATTCCTCCGGTAATCAAACAATGTTCACAATCATATCCACACTTCTTTGAAATTGTTTACTTTTCAACTAAAATCAAGGAGCTGATGTTACTCCAAAAGTTATAATGAAAAATATGCAAGAATACAGTGGGTTAGTTGCGCTGATCACACAATCCTGTTTTTATGCTTGATCCTTGTAATTTAACTAAAAATAATAAGATCTGTCAAAACAACTTTCTACATTCAATAGTAAGTGATATAGCACGCTTTGAAAAACTCAGTCTATGGTATACACCTCGGTTGTGCACATCATGGCTTCCTCCATCTTGGTTTCGTCATTCAGTGAGACACTTTTTTGCAGTGGTTACTCAGCGTTAAACACGGATGACACCAAGTTGGGAGAAACTATGGTATGCCCTGCCGCCGTAAATGATGTCATAAACCGAGTTTTTCAAAGTGCGATATCAAGGTTAATATTAGTTGCAGAAAGATGCTATTTGGTCAGATTTTAGGATTCTTAGCTGATCAACAAGAATCAAGCATCAAAGTTTGATTCTGTGACCAGCAAAACTGAGCCATTGTTCAAAAAATGATTTTCCCCATAAGGCTGAGCAGTGAATTTTAGGCATGTGTCAATTTTCCAGAAAAATACAGCAAGCTCTAGAAATCTGAAGGGGATAGTTTTTTTGCACATCAAAATGGAGAAAATTCCAATCATTAATAATACTACCGCCAAGGTAAAACGCTGTATGAACATTGGAGGGTTGCCAAATTTCTCCTAATGAAATTTTCGATTTTGAGGAAAGTTATGAATATTTCCAGGGAAATATTCAAACAATTAGATCTGATTGCAAATATAATTCTCTGAAAAATTGGAGGACAAATATTCACCATGTTTCCTGAAAATCAGTAAGTTAGCAAAAGAAAGTTGGCAACGTTTGAAGGCTCATACACTGCTCTTCCTTAGTACGGTGGAATAAGTGTCATTTTTTACCGTGATTTGTCAGTGCTTGCAAAGATTTTGAATTATACCTTTGATTTGGCTTCTTCAGCAGCTTTTCACCCATCATGATATTGCTATGAAAAACACTTATAAATTTCTGCTACAATGTTGTCAAAAGAAAGGGAAAAGAGAAACAAGCTTTTCCAAATTATCCTTGTTCTAAAAATAAAATTATGACTGGTAAATAGTAAGGTCTGAGTAGTAAGTAGTGTGTTTTCAAATGATACAACCTGATTGGTCATGCAGATTTCCTGTGGTTTTCTGGGTTTTTCTCAAATTTAATTTCTACTTTCTTTGTTTTACCTCGAATTTGATTTTACATTAATGACTAGATCTGGCCTTTGAAATTTGTTTTTAACATGTACACAGATGGTCAAGAAAGCTCTATTTAAATCTTTGACTTTTCCCCTTCTTTCAAGAAATTTGATCTGGATGTCCATTGGAGTCTAAACTATTAGTTTACAGTCTTCATTATTGTTGTAAGATGGGCTGATGTCAGTATTTTGCAGTGATGCAAGTAATTTTTCCCACAGCTCATCATCATGAGTTTCACGGCCAACAAAATCGAGTCAATTGTGCGAGTCTTTTTTCCAAAACTTAGGTTCATTTCAATCTATACAATTTGAAGTACCCTCTGTTAGAAGCCTAAGATCCTGTTGCCTGTCTGTATCCCCAAGCCTAGGTTTTACCTATTTTGGATGTAAAGCCTCTTTTTCCAGATCAGGTCTATTTCAGGTTACATTTAATCTTTAGCTTAAAAAATTCCTTCCACTGCTAATTATCAATCCTTTTTTCCCCATCTAGACGAAGATCTGGCAACAGTAAACGTGGCTCGCCTGTTATGTCTAATTTTGGATAAAGCTGTTGGACAATTAACCAAGAAAGATGTTGTAGAAAGTTTTCTCTGCGTGGTAAAGAATGTGCAAGATGTTATATTAAAAGTTGAGGAGCGAAAGCAAAAATTCCTGAAGCTTAACCGCACTGTCCAACCGTACCCAATAATTGTTGTTGATGACGAGCAGCAGATTACAGAGTGTTATGCGTGTGTTAATAATATTCTTTACAAGTTATCAAGTCCTATGTCTGCTCTCGATGTCTGCTTTAAAATTTATCATGCTCTAGATGCCCGTTACCCTACAGAAGCCAAAGGAGCTTGGCAGTTCATACAGCAAAATATTTATGATATAAAAACTGAATACGATGATAATCTAGCACAGGGGAGAAAACTCCACAAAAGATTGCTGGAGTTTAAGCTGAAAAAACTCGGCTAGATTTCTGATTCTTTGTTAAATTTTTATGGACTGATGCAAACTTACTTTTGATCTCATTCTGTGATTTACAAAAAGTTCCTTATTATTTCGTTTTTGTTTTTTAATTGCAAAGGAGCCTTGTGGCTCGTATAGCAAAATATTTTTAATATTAGAACTGATTATAATGAAAATCTAGCGCAGGGGAGAAAACTTTACAAAAGATTTCTCTACTGTAAGCTTCTAAAGCTCTGCTCAATTTCTTATTTTATGTTGAATTTTTACTGACTGATGACTTAAAGCAAATTTACTTTTGATCTCATTCTTTGACTTACAAAAAATTAATTTTTATTTTGTTCTTGTTTTTTAATTGCAAAGGAGCCTTGCGGTTTGTATGGCAAAATATTTTTAATATTACAACTGATTTCAATGGAAATCTAGCACAGGGGAGAAAACTTCACCAAAGATTTCTGTACTGTAAGCTTCTAAAGCTCTGCTTAATTTCTTATTCTTATTCTTATTCTTAATTTTTACTGACTGATGGCTTTCCGCCAACTTACTTTTGGTCTAATTCTGTAACTTACCAGAAATTCCTTTTGATTTTGTCATTATTTTTGAATTGCAAAGGAGGTCGGCAGTTCGTACAGCAAAATATTTCTAATATTACAACTGATTACAATGAAAATCTAGCGCAGGGGAGAAAACTTGACAAAAGATTTCTGCACTGTAAGCTGCCAAAGCTCTGCTACATGTCTTATTTTATGTTCAATTTTTACTGACTGACGGCTTTCACCCAACTTACTTTGGGTCTTATTCTGTATAACTTACCAGAAATTCCTTTTTATTTTGTTTCTTGATCGGTGCATATTATACTTTAAAGATGCCTAAATGTTTTAAATGTTCGCTAATTATCAATGACTTGTCGTGTTTTCGAGCTCATGCCCGCAGACATAATATTACAAAAAATGATCAGGTTTTTTGTGCAGAAGAGGAATGTGGATTACATAAATTATCAAATTTAAGTAACTTGATGAGGCATTACATTGAATTTCATGGTTATGCTAGGTCAGCCTCTGGTCGCCAAGCTGCTAATTTATGTATCCCACATTCCTCTTCTGGAAGTATGAATGATCAAATGGAAATGGATGATGAAGTTGCTCAACAAGATTGTGCAAGTATGAATGATCCAATGGAAATGAATGATGAAGTTGCTCACAGTGATCCCCTTCAGACATCCCCTAAATGTGAAGATGAACCGAAAAACCTTTGTCCCCTAATCCAAGAGGAAGTAGATATATTTTTATCCAAACTCTATGGAAATCCTAGAATAACTCGTAAACAAGTCCAAGAAATTATTAATTACTCGCAAAACTTATTAAAAGGTATAGGGAATGTCCTAAAGCAGCCCATCTTAGAACTATTACAAGCAGCAAAATCCAGCCCAGATTTAATCTTTCACTGGGAAGATACCCTTGCTTTTCTTGAAAAACCTTTGGAAGCTGTACGCTCAGAACATTTAAGGCTAAAAACTTTCCAAGAGGAAGGCACTTACATTGAGCCGATTGAAATAACATTTGGTTCTAATGCTGGAGCAGTTACCGCTCAAGGTGAACACTCGGTGGAAATGGTCACATTTACAGCTCATTTTATTCCTCTAAGACAATCTCTGAAAATATTCCTGTCTCAAGTAGAAGTGATGCCAATAATTGTAGATTTTCTAAAAGAAATAGACGATGAAGAGCATATTTTTTCACATTACATGAATGCACAAGCTTGGAAAACATATAAAACTAGTTGTCAGTCTAAATTCGTCCTCCCTCTTTTCTACTATTCAGATGAGTTTGAATGTGGCAATGCATTAGGGTCCCATAAAGTCATACACAAAATAAATGGCAATTACGTGTGTATGCCTTTTCTTCCATTCCACTTAGCATATACATTTCAAAATATTTTAATGGTATATCTACATCACAGTACAGATAGCAAAATTTTTAGCAATAAAAAATTGTATCAATGCATTATTGATGAATTTAGATACTTAAATGAAGAAGGAATTTATGTAAATACTCCTTATTTTACAGGCTCAGTCTATTTTAAATTGGCTTTGTACTGCGGAGACAATTTGGGCTTGCACCAAATGTTAGGCTTCGTCCCTGGGTTTATGGCTAATTTCCCGTGCCGTTTTTGTAAAATCCATAGGGACGCTATGAGACAGCAGTGTGTTGACAATTTTTCGCTTTGGAGAAACCGTCAAAACTACGATGAAGACCTAGCAATTAATGACCAGTCAAAAACTGGTATTAGTGAACTTTGCTGTTTTAATGAAATTCCATCATTCCACTGTACTGAATCTGGGGGATTTGACATTTTCCATGATATCCTTGAAGGATGTTGTGTGTTCTCATTTGAAGTTATAATAATGCATTTGTTAGAGGAAAAATGTTTTGACTTAAATACGCTGAATAGTAGAATTGAGTTTTTTAACTACGGTTCAATCGACAAAGATTCAAAACCTCCTTTAATTAGTTCAGATGAGGGTAAAATAAAAATTTCCATGTCAGCTTCGGAAATGTTTATATTCACAAAGTATTTTGGTTTGATTATTGGCGACAAAGTACCTGAAGGACATGACGTGTGGGCATTGTACATTTTACTTCGAAGGATTATGGATATTTTAATGTCCCCTGCAATTTCTACTGATGATATTAAAATACTTGCAAATCTTATCCAGCAGCATCATGAACTATATTTAAAACTCAGTCCCAAGAAACGCTTAAAGAACAAGATGCATCATATGATTCATTACCCTAGGCTAATCCAGCTTTTCGGCCCGCCCATATATTTTTGGACTATGCGATTTGAGGCTTTTTACCGTTTGGCAAAAGCAATTGCATATTCCATAAGTACAAATAGAAACCTTACGTTATCTCTTGCTATCAGAGCTCAGCTAGTTTTCCATTCTTTTTTAAAATGTCACTCTTGTATGGATAATCGATTTGACAGTGGGCCTTCATCATCTTGCAAGTTGTCTGATGTAGCAGGCTTTGATCAAATAGACAATGTAGCCCCCTCTGGGGGAACGATAGTGCAAGTTGTTCCTTGGATCACTGTTAAAGGTACCACTTTCAAGAAAGGAATGGTTCTAGTCATTGGCTATGAAAACCATTTATCAGATTTTGCACAGATTGAAACCATTTTCTTGCATAATTCAAAAATAGCCTTTGTTTGTACAAAAATGGAAACTATCAATTTTGACAATCATTTTTATGCTTTTGAAGTCAAAGTTCACAGAGAGTGTTGTCAGTATATTGAACTAGAAAAAGTTGTTCACACCTATCCAACTGTTATTAACCCAGCTGCAGGTAAACTTTTCGTTACTTATAAGTATGGCATTTAATTGCACTAAGCTCATAATTATTCTCGGTGAAATAAGCCCAAAAAAATACAAACGTCTGTGAGATTCGTACTGAAACCAATGTAAAAAGGTACCGACTAATATTTCTATGCAGGCTCAAAGATACAATTTTATTTGCTGAGATGTTCTGCCAAAGAAAGTTGCCATTGTGTAGATCTTGTAAGATCTTGTAAAGACCTTGTCAGATCTCGTGTAGAATCTTGTAAGATGCACTTGTCTCTACCTTAAATTTTTGAAATTATAATTTCCTATGTATTTAAGGATCTCAGGTGACCGAGGAAAAAAAATACAAATATTTCCCCTATAGTTTTGTAAAAGATCTGTTGAAAGATTTTGAAAGCGACAAAACTTTTTTGTAATGAGGATTTTTCCTTCTCTTTCCTGCAGAGAAATCTTTTTCTTTATTCTTTTAAGATTAATCTTAGTGTGTTGAGACAATAATATATAATGTTATTTGTGAAAATTGTATTTTTCTATACTGTTCAAGTTGATTTTATACTGTGACTTCAGCTTACTTTTCATTTCTGTTTTTTGTCTAAATCTCTTGTCTTCTATGTGAAATTTTCTCCATTTCATTTTCGGCGACCTTTTTCTTTCTCTCTAAAAGTTATATTATTATACCCAATTATCAAATTAAAATGAATTAATATATCAATTACTTGAAGTCAAATATTCGTGTTTTACATGTCTTGTTTCCTCGACTTTTTTTTTTTTTTTCTAGAAGTAATTTTGGATCTGTCAACATTTGTTTCAAATTAGAAGTTTGAAGCTATCAGTGACAAAAGGGATTTGGTAAAAATTGAAGAACATGAAAAAACTAATCAAAAATATGATGATAATAATAATGTATAATTACTGAAGTTGAAGTGATAGTCAAAAACAGCATAACAGCAAAATAATATACTTTGAAGGCAAGGAAATTAAACATTTATTAAGATTTCAGAAGTTAAAAAGGACACTATGGTAGCAGAAAATTTGCGTGATAAAATTTTATTGCTTTGTATATGAAAGTACCCTTGATGAGCTGAGTTCGCAGTACTTTTTTTCAAACTTTTTTCCTCATCTTTACACGCTGCAGCAAAATAGGTTGAAAATGATAAAATTTACCAAACTGTGACCATCATTTCCCATTCAAACACATGTATTTTAGTAGATTAGATCATTCTGTCATTACTCCTTGATATATAATTGTTATCAATCTAGAAGGTGGAAATATTCTTAATTGGACTCTGCAGCTAGTTTGGTAGATTCCATTTATAAATTGAAGTCAAATATCAGAAATCTGAAAATTCTCCATCAGTCATAATAATTATTATTTTAAAAAATATCCGTGTGCAATAAAAAAAAAAAAAAAAATGAAATAAAAATAGAGGTCAAAAACTGCAAAGGCGCCTCGTAGCGCCACGGAAACTTCATGAGCCTGCACTGAAAACTTCAGGAGCCTGCACTGAAAACTCCAGCAGCCTGAACCGAACTTCGGTTACCTGAGCCGAAGACTTCGGCAGCCTGACCCGAAGACTTCGGCAGCCTGACCCGAAAACTTCGGTAGCCTGAACCGAAGACTTCGGCAGCCAGAACTGAACTTCGGTTACCTGAGCCGAAGACTTCGGCAGCCTGACCCGAAGACTTCGGTAACCTGACCGGAAAACTTCGGCAGCCTGACCTGAACAACTTCGCTCCCGAACACCCTCAGGTGTGACATCCGAAAAATTCAGAGATCCATATCGCCTGAAGTTTTCAGATCACACGTCTGAAATTCGGGTCATATCGCCGAAGTTTTTTTCTCCGTGCATATCTCCTGAACGGTTTGTCGTAAAGAGATGAGCTTAGTCTCAAAATATAGAGGAAACTACCAGCTTTCAGACAATGATGACAAAATTTGTCCATTTTGAAAATGTCATCCATTGCTGTCACGTTGCCGTAGTTCAAATTTTCAATTTTTAGCTGGGGCAATACCTTTGTAGGTCACTCCTAGATCAAATCATTCGTCAAAAATGACGAGATTAGGATAAATGATTAAGGTGATTCGATGGACGCCATATTTTGTATCGGAACGGCATGCGATATATCGCATCAATTGGTTCCATTATTTCAGCTACTCGTCATTTTTCTCCAATTTTGAGATCGCAATTCTGTTGTCAGGAGACTAAGGCACTCACCAATTTTAACGAAGAAATTCAACGTAATAAAGGCGTGGTTTTCTCTCTGAAAAAACCACGCCTTTATTACGTTGAATTTCTTTTAAACCTTAATTTGCAATGGATACAGGGAAATCAAAGTTTTCGATCATAAAAAAAAATTATGTTTACCATCAACGGTTCGCTGGGTAGAAATAAGAGGAAAAATAGGAATTGCTAATACAGCGAGCGTCAGCTGAGTCATATAACATTCATATGTCTTGATATTTTGTTCTTTTTTAATAATTTTCCTCGGGAATGAGCTATAATGGAGTATAAAAATGCACAACCTTGCAATTCGTGATTGGTGGGCATTTGGTGATCTTGGGACTCGGAACAAACCAGGTCCAAGTGTACCGCATCCTCCTTGAAAAATCATATCTCTCCTCCAACTTGTTTCCCCAAGATGAACTTGTGCTTGTTTTAAAGCTTAAACGGTCTACTTTCATAAAAAAATAGTTAGATTACTTTTTGTGCAATTCCTTCAACGTCACAGCTAAAAAGGTGAAAAACTGAACATTTGAACTACGGCAACATGGCAACAATGGATGAAATTTCCAATATGGACCAATTTTGTAATCATTGCCTGAAAGCTGGTGGTTTTTTCTACATTTTGAGACCAATATCATCTCTCTACGACAAAGCGTTAGCGAGATATGCGAGTTTAATTTTTTTACTTTGACTCCCCTCCCCCTCCCTCCGTGATCGTCCGATTTCAAAAAGCGTCAGTGTTTAAGACTTGGGAGGTGATCGTCTATCAACTTTGAAAATATTTCGAAGATCAGGCCAAGGTTGAAACAGAAAATTTCGAATGAGGTCCATTCTTCCTTGCTCTAGTCACAAGAACAAGAGGCAAGTGAGAATTGGAATCGATGCGCAATACGTCATTACGAATCTTTGTTTACATTCCAAGGAGCCAAAAACGTGAATTCTCACGGTGAATGAGTGAAAATGTCTGTGTGTGTTTCATGTGCGTCTGTGTCAGTGACTACGCGCTCACAGAGGAACAAGTGCGTCTTCATGAGAGCGTTATCAGGCAACGCGCCGCGCCGCGCCGTCGCTAAATAGTCACCAGAGACTCTGCGTGAAACTAAATTCGGCGATAGTACATTAAAAGTTGTTAATACGTGACTACAAGCGCACCGTGCAGGGGGTTGAAAAATTTTGAATTTCCCTAATACCCCGAGAATATGTCTTTTCACAGGTAATTTTGGTCGTAGAACTCAAATTTCACTTTGAAAGGTCATCCAGCCTAAGAGAGGGCCCAAAATCCAATATGGCGGCCACAATGGGCTTTGAGGTAGAAAAATGACCATGAGTAGCTTCATACGCCGTATGAAACAGATGCCAATAGGTTTCCTAGGTAGGAAATTTCAAATATGAGATAAGGAATTGTTCCTCGTTCATCGGGGAGATGCAGGGAGTGAAGAGGGGGGCCCCAGGGCCTTCCATTCTCCCCCAAGAAGCGTAAAATCCACCCTGATAGGTTCTTAATTTCTGAGTAAGTAATTGAAATGAATGTCAAAGCAGACACGGACCAGGAATACTTAGTAGCTGGGATAAGTTTTAGAAAGAAAATAGGGTAAATCGCTACGGAGTTAAGCGTGAGTTGGCAGCCCCCTCCCCCCTCTAGACTTGAAAATTTCATATGATTTTTCCTTTTCATTATTTTTATCGGTTATGAATTCATTTCGAGGTGCCTATCCACATTTTTTTTTTCAAACGGATTCCTAAGTTTAAACTTCAAATGGCCGCTGCTTTGCTAATGAACAAAAAAGAACGTTTTAAACGTTTCTCATTTCTAAAGAATAGGGTCTTTCCGATTGTAAGAACAGCGCGATTTTTTATGAAATTTTTAGGGAAATAAGAATTAATTGATTATCATTACTGAAGGGAAAAAAGTAACAAGGAATGAAAGGGATCGATGAGGTTGTTGCATGCATTTTAGTGTATTTTCCGAAGGAAATACACTATTTTTTAATTCAGTTTCTAAAAGTTGGTGGTGTGCTGATCGTTAAGGTATTTGTTTTAAAAATTTTCCGATGATCGGAACATGGAGAAAAAGCTTCGAAAGTTGAGAAACGATTTGAAACGGGGTTCCTTCCCGCGCCTCGAAATCACGTGACTCAGACGTTACAACGCACAGCCACGGGTTTTTGCTATCTAAACTGCATGCTAATGTGAGTTTTTTAAAAAATCAGGAAAAATCGAGTTTTCCGATTTAACTCATTTTTTTTTATCTTGATGGATACCTGAAGATAAGATGAATCAATTACAGACTGGATTTTTGGCTCTTCACGATGATTTCTGGGTCGGAAAGTGAGTTGAAAATCGCTCCTTTCCCGTTTTCTTCACGGAGCGGAGGAGCCGTTCGGCGGTGAGCTGTCAGAGACAAGATTGAGTATCTTTATTAAGAGAGTATGGCCACTTGAGTTACCACCTCTGATTGGCTCAGCCATCTTAGGCTGAATGGAGCCCTTAGGACCCAAAAATGGCGGACGCCATAAGTTAATGTAATGCAAAATGACTCAAAATGTAGTTGTCTTTGCTTATCGTAACGAGAAATTTACCAAAATGCACTATTGCGACCTCGTTACATATTTTTAAGGCTAATCGTGTGCAATTTTCGAGAAAAATTATCTTGGATGTAGTAAGGTTGGCAGCCAGTGCGGTTGGTGATATCCGTCAAAAGTTGGCAATGACCCCCCTCCCATCCACAAAAACCAAAACAAAGCACCGCCATTTTTCGGACCAAAGCCTCTCCATGGGACCCAGTGGCCATACTCTCTTAATATAGGTACTCTA